AGCCACACACACACATACACGTGCATGCACGTCACTATATAAGTGCAATAATCTTGGACGCGATGTTAAACCCAATTTCACCTCACCTCACCTCACCTCACCTCACCTCACCTCACTTCCGGTTCTGAGAGCACTTGTGACGTCCCGTCCGGTAGATATTTCCTTCTGCACCTTCAGGCTACCATAACAGTATCCATTACCACTTATAGGGCTAATACATATGTCGTCATTCCCAGGTGTGAAGCAAGAAATAAGCAACTATAGGTATTGTTATATCGAGATCTTGTATGACTCTTTCCCTTTGCCACTTGACGGACTTGTCCCGTCTGTTGCAATAGATGGCTGTTGAGGCTGGTCTCCATGGTCTGGTCCCCTTGAACTCTATGCAACTAATTCAGAGTAGCTGGCGCCCTCCATTTTTGCCGAGATAATTTTCAGGCGTGAAGATGGGGTTTGTTGAGGCTGCCATAAAAAGTCGCATCTTGTCTGGTGCAGCAGTTCGCGATGCTGTGGTGCTTAGAGGGGTTCTTGCATCCGGAGAGGTAGAGAACTATGAAACCCCTTTCTGTTTGGCATATCGGAGATATTAGTATTATCACACAATCCGTGTCCTCTATCGTCATTAGTACTCTTTGAGATAAGACACTTAGGCGTTTGTCGATAAGTGCAAACATGGATGACATTATTGATTGTGAAAAACCTTTCAGGTTAAAGGGGATAAGATGGAACTCTGAGGCGTCGTTCAAACTTCCCTGATAGGCCCGTGCGCACGTTGGTTGTTTGATTGTTTGTTGTTTAACGTCGCACTCAGCAATATTCCAGCTATATGACGGCGGTCTGTAAATAATCGAGTCTGGACCAGATAATCAAGTGATTCACATCATGAGCCACGCAATTGGTATACGATGACATGTGTCAACCAAGTCAGCGATCCTGACCACCCGATCTCGTAGTGAGGTACGCCTGCTCCTTATCCTGGGCAACAAGATATCCCCTCAGAAGTGGAGATGGCATCCCACTGCATCATCAAATTGTCACCAAAGTGTCTCTCAGCTGTCTTGTTGATGTGGTTTCTGAGATTAAAATTACATTTAAATATATAGAAGTTTGCAACCAAATCCCTCCATATTATCAACCAGGAACCTGTGTGCAGAAATGTGTACAGTGAAATTTATCATCCAACCCAGTGACATGCAGGTGGTTGACAGCGTTGCACCACACAGCAGAAAGACAGGTCACTCTCACTTCATGATTGCCACCACACTCAGAAATGATCTGTGGAAGGGTTAACGGCATTTATACTCAGACTGGTCTTGGTGAGGCTGGTCTCCAGTCATGGAGAGCATGCATTCACATCTCACTGACCCGACATCATACGCAGGCACGTTTGGAAGATCACAGCCGGGCACGATGACAGGCGTGTGCTAAAGGGATAACATTCTGGATGTGTAAGGGAGGCTGTGCTACTGAGAGTTGTTTTTTGGACAATGAATTTGTTTTCAAGATTTTTTTACGTTTCAGTTTTGGTCAGATTCTCTCATTTTGACTCTGATCTGATATTGATGACATGTTTGTTGGCATTGTGTTGCACGTGTCAACAGACGTTTGTTCATTCAACATGTCTTCACGAATATTGTCTTTGGCTATTTCAACAGATGCACACAATTTGACATATTACTTTTTAAAGTGGTGATCCTAAGCAAACTGAGTGGTATATTTAATTTCTGAGGACACTGGGTCAGATTCTGTATGTATCAAATATAGTGTGGCCGTTATAAGTGTTACAGATAATAAAAGTGCAAGCAAATTAATTCAGTGAGTTCATTGCAATGCCGTCAAAATATAATTATGTTGAAAAGATGGTTCTCTTCTCATTAGCAAACACCCCAGAGTGAGTGAGTGAGTGAGTATGGCTTTACGCCGCTTTTAGCAATATTCCAGCAATATCACGGCGGGGGACACCAGAAATGGGCTTCACACATTGTACCCATGTCGGGAATCGAACCCGGGTCTTCGGTGTGACGAGCGAACGCCTTAACCACTAGGCTACCCGACCGCCCCTAAACACCCCAGAAGGTGGCATGCTTTAAAATGATAAAATAAATACAGGCTACAAATTCCAAGCCCTGGTTTACACTTTAGGCCCACTTGTCAGCTTCAAATATCATGGAAAAAATTCCAATAAGCCATGGTTTGTGTTTCAAACATTTTATTATTTCTCCTCCCGTCAAACAAATACATACTCAAGGTCACATGAATTATACATTATAATCCAGTTTCTTCTAAATGCGAAGTGGGGAGGACTTTATTTCTGATATATTACCTTCATAGGGACATCTTTTTATCTTTCCATGAAAAACAAAACTGATTATCATATGTTTGTAGTTTAACACACTCAGCAGTATTCCAGCTATATGACGGCGGTCTGTAAATAATCAAGTCTTGACCAGACAATCCAGTGATTGACATCATGAGCATCGTTCCACGCAACTGGGATCGAGGACATACATCAACCAAGTCAGCATGCCTGACATCCGATCCCGTTAATCGCCTCTTACGACAAGCATAGTCGCCTTGTACGGCAAGCATGGGTTGCTGAAGAGTATATATAAACATATCTGACCTACCTGATTATCCCAATCAAATGTTGATATTTATTTTGTATTCAAACAAACTGTTCCAGACATCAGTGTACATGAACTGACAATGGATGATTCACATCAAGCATGAACATTTGGTAGGATTTGCGTTTCCGTATATTGTGTATTTCTCAAGGCAGGGGACACATGGTAGGTATTTCAGGATGATAAAATGAGTGAGTGAGTGAGTATGGTTTTACGCCGCTTTTAGCAATATTCCAGCAATATCACGGCGGGGGACACCAGAAATGGGCTTCACACATTGTACCCATGTCGGGATTCGAACCCGGGTCTTTGGCGTGACGAGCGAACGCTTTAACCGCTAGGCTACCCGACCGCCTGGATGATAAAATGACATGAGATATTGAGCAGAGAGGAGTATGGGGATGAAAATATAATTATAATTTTTTTATGGCACAAGACCTGGCCTATCTTTGTTGCAGTTTTAAACATGATCTTGTCCTACATTTTGCACAAAGCGAAATTAAAAACAAAATGCATACCGAGAAGCCAATCCGACTGAAGACACCAGTGTGAATGTGGGCCACTGCAGGCAACCACTCCAGACAGAGGCAACCACTCCAGACAGAGGCAACCACTCCAGACAGAGGCAACCACTCCAGACAGAGGCAACCACTCCAGACAGACAAACTGTCAGACACCGAGACAGTGGGTGACAAGTTAAACTTGGCAAATCAGCAACAGTAATTGATTCTTTGAGTCACACCAAATTACCAAGCGGCGACAGTCAAGTCCCTGAAGGAGACAATGCCGATTTAGACAGACTGCTGGAATTATTGCCAGTCACAGACTGCATTTTCTGTTCTGGACAATTTGTTCATAAAAAAAATGCCTGTCTGCTGGACTCCAACAATGATGACAACTACAAATTAGCCAAACACACAAAAATTGTATAACTGAAATACAATCCCACCCCCAACCCCACTTCAATACAGAATTTAACACACACAGACACACACTAGCACTCACCTCAAGACTACACCACCACCTTGTCTGAAGGCAAAGCATTCAGTCAAGTAAACTATTGTCTTTAAGTGCAGCACTTTCATCCTGGCAGTTGAACAAGCAATCATACAGGGACTAATGGTGGTGAACAAACATAATTGTCATCCCTTGGACATTCACAAGAACAGAGAGTTAAATTCTGCATTTATATAGCGCATCTTATGCACTTAAACAGGATGTTCATGAGCGCTAGTTTGATTAGCGGCCATTGCAAAAGAATATTGCCATCGCTTTTTGAAGGTTCTGTCACCTAATATGAAAAATGAAATCATATCAAAGTGTGCATTTATATAGCGCATCTTATCCAGATAAACAGAATGTTCATGAGCGCTAGTTTGATTAGCGGCCATTGCAAAAGAATATTGCCATCGCTTTTTGAAGGTTCTGTCACCTAATATGAAAAATGGAATCATATCAAAGTGTGCATTTATATAGCGCATCTTATCCAGATAAACAGGATGTTCATGAGCGCTAGTTTGATTAGCGGCCATTGCAAAAGAATATTGCCATCGCTTTTTGAAGGTTCTGTCACCTAATATGAAAAATGAAATCATATCAAAGTGTGCATTTATATAGCGCATCTTATCCAGATAAACAGGATGTTCATGAGCGCTAGTTTGATAAGCCATCGCTTTTGAATGTTCTTCCACCAAATATGAAACATGAAATCATATCGAATTCTGCATTTAAATAATGCACCTTATCCAGATAAACAGGCTATTCTAGAGCACTCACTCACTTAACAGCATATTCAACAGAGCGCCTGGCAGCCATGTTGTGTCCTGGATACAAGCACTTGTATGAACACAAGATGGCTGCCAGGCTCACGACACATGCTTGTATCTGTGGACACAGCATATGAGTCCAGGCTGAAGCTTATCCACATGCATCTTCCCGAGGCAAGTGAGTTAACAGACTATAAAAGTCCAGTTTCCACCCTTGCCGAACTAGGCTGGTATTATGGAGTTAGATTTTGGCTGGACTAACGAGTCTATGCATAGTCCAACAAAATCGCGCACCAAAATCCGGTTCGTAGAGTGTCATGCAGATTTCGGTCGACTGCAGGATTTGCAAAGCATGTGCACTGCCAACTCGTTGTCAACAGATATTTTCTAAATCTTTTCATGTTTTTAATCAAGGTGCTCACGTGATTTGATGCACTTCGCGATGTAAGACTCGTTTTATCACGATATAGATCTTGATTATCGATCAGATCGTCTTGACTGGGCGCCACCGTTTTGTTTGAAACAAATGCAAGTGATACGAGAGGTTGAATCTGATTGGTCAATAGGTGAGGCATAGAAAGGACATAACTCGTAATAGCCACTGGTGGCGCTACTTAGAGCCCAGGAATTCCAGCCTAGTTCGGCAAGGGTGGAAACTTGACTTTGAAAATCAGTTAACTCTCTTGCCTCGGGAAGATGGTCCACATGCTGCTGTAGTGTACATGTACTGTGCCGACAAAACAAGGAACATAACAAGGGCAAAGTTTGGATTCTAAACCACAATCAGCAGATTCAGGCACAACAAAGGGACACAACTCAGCAAATTGTGGCACCCTAGACAACCATAACAAGCCAAGGCATGATCACAAAGGGTAAATAGTTAAATAGAGAAAAACACTGAGATATATCACAGACGAGATCCATAGACATTTCAATAAAAATAGTTCATTCTTAACAAAATATACAGTCTCCTAATACCTTCCCTGACAGAATCAAATAAATAATCATAGATAGTAACACATAGAAAAGCACCAACAAAACAAATGTACCAACATATCAAAGATCTGTTTTCTTTCTCTTTGAATAATGAGCAACCCATTTCTTTGTCAGGTCCAGATAATACCTTGGACCTCCTGGTGCATAATCATCATATATAAAATTGTCAATTCTTTTGGGAACGGCCGATTCTATCTGAGTGCCTTCGTGCCATTCGTTGTAGGATGTTATTGAAATCAGAGGAGGGTCAACATTGACTGCAGCTTCAAAAGACATTTCGTAATATTTTCCGTGATCCCTGCTCTTTGTATTGATGCTATTCCATGGCCTCACTCGTGTATCGACGTACCCCGGACCAACGCTGGGTAAAAACAGCAGACCTTTCGCCCTGGCAAAGGCTTGTATGATTCCCCAATTTCTCCATGTGCTGCCGTACGTAAATCCATTACTTGCGAAGTACGTATAATAGCCATCGAAACCTCCTGTGACGATGTCTTCTCTGTGTCGCTTCTCAACAATCAAGCCAATGAAAATACCATCGAGATCAGTTCCACGCACTGTCATTTCTCCATCAGGACTGAAGACTTTGGCCCAGTCCCGAGCCTGGACATGGTACGAATCGTAGATGTAATACAATGGGAGTTGTCTCCCCTTGTGCTTCATTCTGTAGAAGGCAGGGTGCTGACCGTAGGTGTTGAGGATGTACTGGAGATCTGCTTTCAATGTCAGATGGTTCCTGTTCTTGTAGGGCTCTATGTGGAAAGTCACCTGGAGGGAAATACAGCCCCAGTTTAACAAACAAAGCTCTGCACTCAGTTTCTTGGGGGGAGCTCAGTGATGGCATATAGAAGTGAGTGAGTGCCCCATGATGATTTAACAACCAATTCATGACATGAGGCAAAATAGCGGGATCGGGTGGTCAGGCTCGCTGACTTGGTTGATACATGTCATCTATCCCAACTACATAGATTGATGCTCAGGTAGACAATCACTGGATTGTCTCGATTATTTACAGACCATCATTATACAGCTGGAATATTGCTGAGTGCAGCATTAAACAACAATTTGTGAGGTGGAATTTGATTGGTCAATAGGAGCGACATAGAAGGGACATAACTCGTATTCGCCATTGGTGGCGCTACAATTGAGTCTGGAAATTCCAGCCTAGTTCGGCAAGTGTGAAAACTGGACTTTCATAGTTGGTTAATACAAATGCCTCAGGAAGATGGGATTATAACAACTCACCTTCAGATCATACTTGTTGGCTTTGTCCAGGATGAGAGGGATGAGTCGGTCGGAGGGTATCCCCTCGTCGTCAGCGTCACGGGACGGATACCACGACACAGACACCACTCCTGGAACACCAAACAATGATTATGACCATGACATACAGTACACTTTGAAGCTACAATTTTAGGCAACACTTTATAAAACTAAATACAACTTGACGTCGGAGATCAAGCAGGAGTGAATGAGTGAGTATTGCTTTTAGCAATATTCCAGCAATATCACGGCGGGGGACACCAGAAACGGGCTTCACACATTGTACCCATATCTGGAATCAAACCCGGGTCTTCAGCGTGACGAGCGAACGCTTTAACCACTAGGCTACCCGACCGCCCGAGATCAAGCAGGAGAAAACATACCGAGTTCAAGTTCAATAATGTCATGTGTTCCTCATATTTTAACCTGAAAGTAGTAGGCACGCTGACATGTTTTACTTTTGCTACTGTGCACTACCACAGTGACCCACATTGATTGATGGATTGTGACTGGGAGTGGGAGGGGGAGTCTGAATGCCAGTTTTTATAGTGCTAGCACACGAGATACCATGTCACAGTTTAACATGGATACATAGCTCAGACACAGTATACTGACTGAGCCGAGCAGTCCTTGTTTTAGCCCCTTAATGCTGAGTGCCAGACAGTGAATCAAGAAGGACCATCTATTGTGGTCTGTGGGTAGGATGCTCTATTCACCAGACCACTGAAGCGGTCGGTTATTTAACGTTTAGTATGGGAACAGAGTACAGTGAACACAGCAGTCCACATTTTGTATATGTGATACCTATTTATTTGACAGTGAGTGAGTGAGTGAGTGAGTGAGTGAGTGAGTGAGTGAGTGAGTGAGTGAGTGAGTGAGTGAGTGAGTGAGTGAGTGAGTGAGTTGGATTGGGTTTAATACCGCTTTGAACAGTATTCCAGTTCCATCACGACATGTCAGCTTAATGTGAGAGCAAATCCCAAAGTGATGCAGGCACCACGATTCGCTTTGCAGAGTTGCGTCCCTTGGGCACGCCAGAAACCTATGATTGTGCGTTCGAATCCCAGTTCGCCCCGATTCTAGGGTTTGTCAGCACCATACCCATGCTCGTGGGTTTCACCAAAGTGGTAAACATCTCAGACCTGCATAACTTCAGGCGTTCCTCCCACATTCAGCTGACACGCCATGACATAACTGGAATACTGTTAAAAGTGGCTTTAAACCCAACTCACTCACTCACTCACTCGCTCATTAACAATGTGATTATGACATTGACTCTTGACTAGTGTAACCTTAATAATCATTGGATTACATTCATTGTATTACCGTATTCTACGTAATAAGTGCCCCACTCTGATAAGCGCCCACAGCGATATTTGCTAATATATTGGCTAGTTAACAATCCCAATTAGCACCCCTTCCAATTAATCAATGTACACAAGACTTATTTATTCATGTATAATACGCACTCGTGTGTTATATGCACCCTTAATTATGGACAAATAAATTCTGGAAAATATATCTGTCGTGTGTAATACGCACAGACTTTTCTATTGTATCATTTCAGGCTGTCAGCATAAACCATGAAATTTATGATCTTTCTACTGTTTTTTTCTCACAAAAATTATATTCTAATAAGAGCCCTCTATTTCTAATTTTGAGAGCGCACTGGGCGCTTATTACGTCAAATACGGTAGTTTTCATTAAGAGCAAGTAGTCACTAAACTTATAGAACCCGAGGCTCAAACAAGCTGTCAATGACCCATTGATCGTTGATCATGAAAGAGCGTAGAAAAATCATAAAGGATTAGGGTGTCTTGGCTCAAAGGAGCTTTAAATCAAATTCAGATTTTCGAGTGAGAGAGTATGTTTTAGTCCGCTTTGGGCACTATTCCAGCAATATCACAGCAGGGGAGACCACAATGGGCTTCACACATGAGGGGAATTGAAACCCGGGTCTAAGCCCAGCAGGGATTTATCAGGTCGTAACTAAGTGCCCCTGGCAAGGAGTTTGGGAAATATTATTTTGTTAAAAAATGGGATTTTTTAAATGTTCACGTCTTCATAAATTCAGAGGTATTTGGGGATTTCATTTAATACAGTGACATAAAATGAAGCATTAATACCTGTTCCTATTTATTGGTCTTGTTGTAAGTGAATATAGGTTACTTCTACTTTTAATTAGTTTATAGTTATATATATTAATACATTGTAATATGCATCGGGAAATGTTCCGTTCCAAATTGAGTATTTTTATTGACTTTTGCTGCAGACTTGGGGCCGAATATCAGCCTCTGAGCTGGTTTACGTAAATCCTTGCCTCGGCTAGATTATTTACAGGGTGGCACGATATTTTCAATTGGACATCAAACAACAGCATAACAAGCCTTATCACATAACTTTCAGTGTTACTGATGCTAACCAATATGATACAGTCAGTAATATACATACAAATACATACTTGCGATACAAAAACACACTGATAATATCTATGTACAATTTCTGGTTAATTCATAAATTCATGACTGCTATCACCTGCTCCTGTGCTCCGTATCTCAATCATATGTTTTTCAAGCACCTCTGGATCACCGGAGCTGTAGGGGCCAAGGGATGGGTAGAAGTTGGCACCAATGTCATCAGGTGGTTTGTGAATCCCGAGTGGCCATTTAATCATTTCTGCTTTATTCCAGTGTGGAAGAAACCTGTGATTCCAGTGAAAATACTTCCCATCTGTTTCCGGATTCCCGTACCAGGGATAGTAGAATAAGTGGACATTATAATTTATTGTCGGTAAGTCTATGCTGACCAGTTTTGGAGCATTTCCTTGATTGAACTGAACGTCAAAGCCAGCTTTGTTGAGCTTGTTTTCGTGTAAACGGAGGAGTTTATTAAGCACTGGATTATGTTTATTGTCAGAGATAACTAACGACTGATCCTGTAATTTCTCTGATCCTTTGTCGTCAACTTTAAATCCTGCTTCATTAAGTTTCTTCTTGTGGATTTGCTCCAATTTCTCTTTGACAGATGCTCCCTTGCTGCCATCTTGTTTTTTCAGTACAAATGATGTCTGCTTGTCAGCATTTGGGGCAGACGGAGTCTGTCTTTCTTTCTCAGACAATTTTTCAAACAGCAATGGTGGGCGTTTCTGTAGGAGTGGGTTTGGGTCATCTTCCCTGAAAATCCTCCACTGATGTCGTCCAGAATGTCGACCAGGTTCCTGAGTGGCGTGGTTTTGAGGCAAGAAATAGATACCTAAAATAATCCACACAAGAAATGATGCTGCCCCTAGATAAAGGATGCATCGTTCTAGATTAATAGTTTTCAGGCATTTTCGAATCTTCATACTTGTGTCCTCACATGCCTACTTCACATTCCTGTGCAGGACCCTGAAATAGACAAATTGTTTGGTATGGAAATTACATTTTTAAATATCTTTGTGAGGGTGACTAAATGGAGGAAAGACTTCCGCCCGTATACCCCCTCCAAACGTTATACATGTATGCACTGCCGCTCAATCCTTTAAATTATATATAATTTTAAGGGGGATTACAGGTGGAAGTCTTACCTAAATGGATTCAGTGTGTCCATGTACCTTAACAGTGTGATTTGTTGCTTCTAATACCAATCACAAGTTGTAATTACTTACATGCTGCCATAACATAGCTGCACTATTCTGTGTGCTGCATTAACGACAAACACAACATGTCAAACCTGTTCTCAAGATCCAGGAAAATCAGAAAATGTGGTTGTTCCATTGATTTCCCCATGACATAATGCACTATTACATGGAAAATCAGTTAACTATTTCATATTTGTACAAATAATTCGGGTCTATCATTTCATATCAGTTGCTTACATGATCCTTCTTGAAGCCTGTAGACATACACATGTATTTTGTTATGTGGTTCAGATGGGGCCCTCAACGGGTTTTTCATTTTACCAGTTCGTAGTACAAAGCAAATTTGGCTCATGTTTGTTAACTAAATAAGATACCAGAATAAATGCAATATTACAAGTGTATATAATGTTAGTATGTAAACATTGCAGTCATTCATCAAGAACTTCTAAGTTATCGCCTTCTATAACCCTAAATGGGCCCCCAGCTTTTTGTTTTGTGTTATAATTTATTCTGTGTTGGGTCCAGATTCGAGGTTTTGGTACATAAATACATCGACCACCTTAAGAAACACTTACAAGCTTCAGACGTAATCTGACAGCTAGACCATTACATATATCACACATAATCACATAGGCCATGGGGCTGTTTCTGAGAGCCACGTGATTGAATGCGTATGAGGATGCCGCAAAATTATGGAATCAAATACGATTTATGATTTATTTCTTAAAATGACCAATGATTTAATGGATGTGTGTACGCCATGTAATATTTCTCCACTCTGTCTTGTAATTCTCTGGATGACTCATATATGTCAAGATATTATGGAAGATATTTCTTTTTAACACATTAAAAAGGAAATACTTTTTACGAGATATATAACTTGTCTCTTCATTCAAATTTCACGAACTTATCTGAAGTATGTTCCTTTGTGTTGAAAATATCAAACATTTATTTATTAAAAATAAAACAATATTTATATTTATCTACCCATATTAATCTAAGTAAGCAATTATATCCCATATGCCCGTAAGCTGTCGTTTTGTGTGGAACACTACGAGACGATGTTCCGTTCATTAAATTGAGGCAGACATAGCTGTTAGCTGTTACCTTAATTAACACGGACAAGTCATATTATTACGTTGTAGAAGAAACAGATGTGTATGCACCATGTAATATGTATGTACAATTAGAGACTAATTTACAACAGTTTAATGTATTTATTTTACAAAACGTATAAAAGTTTGTTAAATCCTGCTTCCACATTTACCATTTCCCTGTCTCTTCATTGTGAATTTATACCATAGTCAATTAGTCAACATTGAAACATAATTCAAAGGATTTTCTTATCATCCTTAATTCGTTCCATTGCCAATATGTCTTTTTTATCTTTCGCTTGGATATAGTTCATACAACGACTGATTTCATTGGCTTCTGAAATCTGAAACACCAATGAACGTGCGACTAACAACTCGGATAAGGGAAATTATGGGCTACATCCCTACCGCCATTTTGCTCAGCACGCTATGTGAGGATCACATACCAAAGCGTTGCGAATATTTATTCTATTTCGTTTTTAAGAGGACGAAATAGCTCATAATGGAGGCCGTTAGAGCTTTCAACAATGAGGTATATATCAGGGAGCTATATTTGATTTCTAATTATTTATGTCTTAGCCAAAAACTAGAGGAAGATAGCCAAGGGTACAACTATCGCATGGGCAGCACGCCGGTGGTCGCGGAATCCAAACATTCGCATTTTCATTGTTGCCTTGTAGTTATTGTGTCATACTTAACAAATAAGTCTGTAGTGTTGCACGTTTGTTGAATGTCCAGGGACGATACGCGTTTACCTCATACGTAAATAATCAAGTTCAATCTTGAAATGCCGCGATGCAGCGCGAGTAGGAAATATGAACGTCGCTATTGCACATGTTGTTTCACAATGGCAGGTGAAATCTCAATTAAGCATAGTTTCTTTTTGCAATCCTAATGATATGATCGCAGATGCTCAATACCGTGACGAATGCTACTGGCCCAGGCCAGATAGATATTTTAAGAATTACCGATGACGAGTAGATATAGTGTTAGGTTTATTACTAATTATTTTACTTCTATGAAGTGTCTTCCAGCAGATATAAAAGTATCAGTAAGTAAACAAATATTGCTGACACAATTGGTGAAACTGTTACTTGGAGGCCTGTCAATTATCGTTCATGACATCAAGGTTGGGCTTGATTGTGAGTTTTGGTATGGGTAACTATCTCTTTCAATGAATGTTAAAGTAATTTTAGGAAAAGCCATTTTTTAGCAAGCAGCCAAGGAGAAAATGACTACTGCGTAATGGAAAACAACCTGGGTCTGATCATTTGGTAAACGATCACAAATTATTTGAGGTCAATAAATAAATGTTGGCTTAATTCAATTAACTCAATAGGCCAAGCCAAGCTTTCAAGCTGCCAATGCTAGCTTCATCCTCCGTGCAGTGCTAATTGAAATCCGAAGGACCACACTCCTTCAACTTTTGGGATAAATAACAAAATATGTGGAATTTCTATTTCTAACATAACACTTTGAAAACTTGTAAAATAGGTATTGACAGTTATAAACCATAGTCTAATTCATTGTTCTGACTTGTGTTGCCCTTAGTTGTATTTGAAACTTTGCTCATCTTCTGAACATCGCCTTCAACACGTCCAAATTCTACCATATAAATCTGATGGTCATCACCAGAAAGATATGCTATATGATCTAAATAGTGAAACCTGTCATGCCTATGGCTGGCAGAATGAGGCCCCCCAGCTAAATACTTATCCCTCAGTTAGATAATGTATCATTAGCCTGGGTCAGTGTTCACACCATTGAGTTAGGACCCGTGAAGATCCGGGGTAGAATAGGTCTTCAGCAACCCATGCTTGCCGTAAAAGGCGACTATGCCTGTCGTAAGAGGTTACTTACGGGATTGGGTGGTCAGGATCGCTGACTTGGTTGATGTATGTTATCAATCCCAATTGCGTGGATTGATGCTCATGATACTAATCACTGGATTGTCTGGTCCAGGCTCGGTTAATTACAGACCGCCGTCATATAAGCTAGAATATTGCTAATTGAGGCGTTAAACAACAAACCAACCTTTGAGTTAGATTGAACATTGAAAAATGTTTTGGTAAATGTATTATAACAATTTGGCAACAATGCAGTTTACCGTTTATGCTCTACAAGCACTCATTTATGTATGATCGTGGCATAACTTCTTTAAATTGTCAGCATGCCAGTAAGTTATCCTCCTTGAGGTTTGGGGGAAGAATACACATCTTGATGGGTCGTGTTTAGGCTCTGTGACTTTCCTGATTGCATGCCATGTTTACCCAATTGTGTTCATTGCTCGAAAATTCAGTTACAGAATATCTTGTCAAGACTCAATTATTTACTCTGCGATCATACAACTGCAATATTGCAGATTGCTGTGTTGACTTTGTTGTGAATGCCGCACTTAGCAATATTCCATCAATATGACGGTGTGTTGAATTGTGGCCAGACAATCCAGTGATTGACATCATGAGCATTTATCTACACAATTGGGATATATTGACCTGCAGTCAACTAAGTCACGGGACCTGACCATCAAATCTATTTTGTCACCTCTTTCGACAATCGTACAAAGTTCCTCGGGTCCTATATTCTTACCCGAAATCCTCATGAGTAAACAATGGCACACTTGAAGGATCACTAGTCCACCAAGGGCAACAAGACCTGTGGTATTGCCAACTAGTCCAAAGGGCTTGTATTTTAAAATGCAAGACTTCAATTGTGATGGCGCAGCTCGAATATTGATGACTATTTTGAAACATTGATTTATTTACTAACCAGCTACTTGGCGATGGAAGTCCTTGTTACTATTGGGGTTGTATTTAATCTGCATTTAATTTATAAGTTGATGGCAGTACATCGATGGCAAGTTGAAGTATCTATTATTGTCATTGATGCTGTGCCTGATTATCAATAGTTGTGATGGATATTGCAAAAGTGAAAAGGCCCCAAATAATTTATAGACACTCCTTGGGGCAAGTCACTGTGCAGAGTTGTCCCTTGGGAACACTTCAGCAACCCATGCTTGCTGTAAAAGGCGACTATGCTTGCCGTAAAAGGCGACTATACTTGCCGTTAGAAGCTACATGCTTGTCGTAAGAGGCGACTAACGCGATTGTTTGGTCAGGTTCATTGACTTGGTTGATGCATGTCGTCGTATCCCGATTACGTGGATCGATGCTCATGATGTCAATCACTGGATTGACAGATTTACAGACTGCGTTCATATAGCTGGAATATTGCCGAGAGCGGCGTTAAACAACAACAAAAAAAAACAGAAAGATATGGTGGGTTCGAACCCTGGATCTCCCCGATTATGTTTCTAGGTTTGTCAGCACCATACCCATGCTTGTGGGTTTCACAAAAGTAGTAAATGTCTAAGAACCTGCATCACTTTTGGCTTTCGTCTCACATTGAGCTGACACGGTGTGATATAGATGGAATACTGTTAAAAATGGTGTTAAACCCAACACCCACTCACTGCAGAAAGTTAGGGATTGATAAAGTTGTCAGTGTCACTCTGGGTGTTGAAACCTTGTACAATTTCTGATGTAGCTCACCTAGTTCCATGTTTTTCTAAAATGTTTTGAAAGAAATTTATGTTTTACATATGATTGTCCTGAAATAGCCATGCTATTCACAGCTAATTAGATATAACATTGTTAGTCTACTTTCAGAGTTGCCAGCTGGGTTGTAATCTGTGCCAAGGTCAATGCTGAACTTGGCTTTTGGCACTATTTTCAGTAGATTTTGAGTTACTTTATTGGAAATTGTTAGTTTCAGAATAGTGGTTAAACAACGTTTGTTAGTACTTAGCTTGTAATATAATCATGTACATATCTGATTAGATTTAAATTGATTATATCTGGACAAAGTCATTAAGCAAAAAATCCAGAGTTACAGTACATTGTAGTTGAAAATTTTGGGGTTGATGTTAAATCCTGATTTATTTGTTTTTCAGCTCTCCTCATTATATGAGGTTCGGCCTCCTATTTCACGTGCCAAAATGGCTAATGTCACTAAATGTGCCATAAAGGCCATCAAGTTCTACAAGCATGTGGTTCAGAGTGTGGAGAAGTTCATTCAAAAGGTTTGTTTTATGTTGTACTTTCAGTGTATCCCTGTCTATAGTCATGATAGTATCCCTCACCCCTTATCTGTTCTTCAAGTCAGCCTGTGTTTCTATTCCGTTAACACATGGTTGAGGGCCTTGTTTCACGAGTCAGTTCTTTATTTTGACTGTAGGCTGGGTTATTCCTGTACACAAATGCACACTTTTAGAAATACTCTACTTTTACTCCACTGCTGGCATTTTGTTAAACCTACACTAACCTCTGTACTCATCCCTGTGCTTCTCACAGTCTCAAATTACCTGCCTTTGAGCGGCCAGACTACTAGGTCTATTGTTCCAATCAGAATGTGATTTTCAAACCAGCCTCAATGTTGGGTTGCGATATCAACATGGGGCCAGTCCCATTGAGATATTCAGCGTGCAAAACTGACTTCATGCTGAAAGGATGAAAACTGAAAGGATGTCTTCATGTCTTTCAAAACAGGCGGTTACTTTTACCCATTACCCATTAATTAAGTTTGCAAGAACCATGGGATGGGTCCAGGGGTTAGTGTTGGTTTACCGAAATGCTCGCCCTGGAGATATAGAGGATGTATCAGGACTAGTGGACTAAATGTGTTAGTTTCTATCGCTAGAGATACCCTTGTACCTCGTACTGGAACACACGATTGTGTGATGATGTTTGCCAGCTCCCAGGACACAGAAGCTGGCTTGGCCCAGGCTTGATTATTTAGGGTCCTGGACTCCATTGTAATATAGCTGGAATAGTGTTGGCTGTCGGACAACAACCTACATTATGCACCGGAATCTCAGGATCATAGCTCTACATGAATTTTTTTGTCATTGAAGAAATTGTATTTTCATTTCAATAATTTTCTTGCTTGTAGGGGGCACAGATGGCCCAGTCGTCTAAGGCGCCACGATTCGCTGTGCAGAATTGCGTCCCTTAGGCACGCCAGAAACCTATGATTGTGGGTTCGAATCCTGGTTCGCCCCAATTATGTTTCTAGGTTTGTCAGCACCGTTCCTGTGCTCGTGTGTTTCACTGGAGTGGTCACCTGCATCACTTCGGGCTTTCCTCCCACATTTTTAGCTGACACGCTGTGATATAACTGGAATACTGTTTAAAGCGGTGTTAAACCCAACTCACTCAATCACTCACTCACTCACTCTTGCTTGTAATGAAACTTTTGTCTTTCAGTGTAAACCAGAGTACAAAGTTCCCGGTTTGTATGTGATAGACTCCATAATCAGACAGTCCCGCCACCAGTTCGGTTCGGACAAAGATGCGTTCGCCCCAAGGTTTACCAAGAATATAGTCTCAACGTTCCAGAATCTGTTTAAATGTCCACCAGATGAGAAGGTGAGTATCGTTGCTTTCTGAACAGCATGGTAATCCCCTTGTCCTAAGTAGTTACAAACATCAATGTGTTTATCATTTTCATGATTTTAACCATTTTGTACCTCCCAATTGTCTATTGTTTGTTTAGGATATGCTTGACATATAGGTCACTTTTGGTTACAAATCAGTATGGCAGCTCAGACACGTTTGTGTATACTTGAGCAACTATATGATCTATAATCCCATTTGTTTTGTTTTTTTCAGAGCAAAGTTGTCCGGGTACTTAACCTTTGGCAGAAGAATTGTGTCCTACCAGTGGATGTGATTCAACCATTACTGGATCTTGCTGCTGAGCCCAATAATGTTGACAGGGTGTTAACTGGTAAGTATTCTGTGAGGTAGTACAGATAGAAAAAGCTGATACTCGGTGCCAACTGTTTCCTCTGTACACACACATGTTGCTCAGGGTATGTGCTGGCTGGGGGATGGATCAGCTGCTGGGTGTTTGGTTGTTTGGTTTCCCACATGGGTAAAGTGTGTGAAGCCCATTCACCCTCATGGCAATACTGCTGGACTGAGACCCGTGAAGATCAGGGGTAGAAGAGGTCTTCATCAACCCATGCTTGCTGTAAAAAGCAAATATGCTTGTCGTTAGAGGGGACTAACAGGATCGGGTGGTCAGGCTCGCTGACTTGGTTGATGCATGTCATCGCATCCCAATTGCGTGGATCGATGTTTATGATGTCAATCACTGGATTGTCTGGTCCAGACTCGATTATTTCCAGGCAGCTGTCATATAGCTGGAATATTGCTGAGTGCGGCGTTAAACAACAAACAAACAATTGCTAGAAGTGATGTAAACCGTAACTCATTGTCGTTTATAGGGAGTGGTTATGATTGGCTAAGGTTCAAGTTCTCTTCAATGACATTTAGTTAGACCTGTACTGTGTGTGCCAGTCATCTCCCCAGGAGCATAGTTACCAGTCTGACTTGCAACTGTGTAAAGAAATGGCATGCTAATTAATAGACAGTGCCTTTCAGAAAGTAGTGTGATGCCAATTGGAATGGGGGTAAATACATTGTTAATCTCAAGCCTGTATTTTGCTCACAGCTCAACGTGCTGTGGAGAAGGTGGTCACAGCACACCAGCAGAAGAGCCATGGTGGGCCGGGGGCGGGGCCAGGGCCAGCACATGCAGGGGGCAGCTCCAACATGGAGGCCAAGCCAGCCCCACAGGATGTGCTGGCCACACAGAATGACATGCTGGCTACTGTCACCAAGCTACTGCAGCAGACTGATGAGGTATACAGGATTGAATTCTGGTGAAATGAGCCAGATAAACAAATTTCCACATAAATGAATCATGAAGACATAGTAGGGCTGAAACTTCTTGACTATCAATATTTCAGTGAGGTTCCAAAGAAAAAGCTAGTTGTAGACACGTTTGCAGTGGTTATTTTAACTTTCATTTTGCAATATTGACTGACAAATCGCTGGTGTGTGCGTCGTTAAATGAGTGGTAAGTAATTCATTGTAGCTAGTTTATTGTCTTGTATCGATACAGAAAAAAACGTATTGTGTATTGAATCATCACTTGAAAACTTGAGATGCATCGATGCACTGATGTATTGTTTCACCCCTAAGACAGTGATAACGTTTCCAACAGTACTGACGTTGAAGGCAGTGGTTTAACTATGCATGTGATTTTAAGGTATAGGGTTGAAAATGTGTATCTCAGTGATCTCGCATGTTTACAGTCGGGGCTACAGTCTGTAAAAGTATGTAATTTGATGTATTTTCACTCCATAATTTTGATAGGTTTAATAGATTGAGGTAATTAGTACTCGGAACATATTTGTTCAATGTAAGTGTTACAACAAACGGTCTGAAAGGATATGTCAAGGAACAAAACCTTATTGTAAAGTGCCTTGAGGCAGACACATTCCTACATTACAATAACATCAGCAACCCATGTTTGCCGTAGAAGGCGACTGTTTGTGGTAAGAGACGACTGACGGATTCAGGTGGTCAGGCTCGCCGACTTTGTTGATGCATGCCATTGTATCCCAATTGCGTGGATCGATGCTCATGCTATCAACCACTGGGTAGTCTGGTCCAGGCTTGATTATTTCCAGACTGCCGTCATATAGCTGGGATATTGCTGAGTGCGGCGTTAAACCACAAACAAACAAACAAACAACATTCCTCCATTACCTTGTTATTGTGTGTCTCAAGCACAGAAGTTTCCAAACAACGATTTTTAGTCCTTTCTACATTAGCATATGTCTGTCTCCAGCAGGGTGCAACCAGCCTGAGCTCCCAGCAGCATCAACTGCAGCAGCTGCACATTCTACAGCAGCAGCTGATGCAACAGACCGAGCTGATGCAGAAACCACAAGAAGCTGGGCCCATCATAGACAACAACCTACTGGCACAGATTCAGACACTTACCAACCAGCTCCTCAGCAAGACTGGAGGAGAGGGGAAGGGGCCGCCAGAGCCAGGCTTCAACAAGGTGAGTTACCATTGTAACTGGTTTGCACATTAAATATTATTCCAATGCAGTAAGCGATCTTTTGTAGTTTGCAGTAAGAACTGCTCTTTGAATGCAATATAGGGACTGCCTTAATTATGACTCCTTCTTGTCTCTACCAAACCCTTACTCGTAGGATTCACCCTTTTTTTTCAAAATGGAATGAGATTTGGAATGTGCACTTTGTGGGGCTTAGATGTTGGGTTTTTTGTGCAATATTTTAAGTTTTTATGCTCGAAAATTCTCAGACATATTTCCTTTGAAAACTTTTGCGATTGTATGAGGGAGCTGACATGATATTGTGATAATGCTGACAGCAATTTTTATCTCACCTCTTCCCTCCTATAATGCAGGGGGATATAGTCATCATCTGGTCTGTCTGTATTTCATTTCCAGAGCATAACTTGAAAACCTTGAAAGATTTTTCATCCAAACTTGGAAAATGTATTAACCAGGGACCACTTGCACAAAGCGATCCTAGCGCTAAGACTATCGTAAGCCTATGTTAAAGTATGGGAGTTATGATTACCTTAGCGCTAAGATCGCTTTGTGCAAGTGGGCCCAGGGGCCGAAGTGGTGCCTATTGCTATTATGGGGCCCCAGGGGATTTGTCATCTTCTGATGACTCTTGTTTTATGAGTGTCTGTCTTTGTTGACATTTTTAATTGTTGACTACATTTTCAGGTGAACAACAGTGCCTGTGGCACAACTATTCATATTTTCATATCAAAAGTTGTATGTCATGGCATAAGTTTGAGAAAGATGTGTCTGTGTATGTTATGTTATGTTATGTTAAATTATTTGTTAACTTGTTTCAGAAACTGCTAGACTTTGACTATGGTGAGAGTGATGAAGAGGATGAGAGGAGGGAGGGTGGAGGTCACCAGGGAGGAATTCCTGGGTACGGGTAATGAAACTTTTACTTATATGTAGTTTAGTTCTGTTTAGAATAGTATCCTCAGTCTTTCTTCCTTCTTGTTACGGACCTCCTCCATGGTCTAGAGGTAGATCGTCCGCCCGGAGAGCGGAAGGTCCGGGGATCGATCCCCGGCCGCGTCATACCAAAAGACGTTAAAAGATGGTACTTGTTGTTACCCTGTCTGGCGCTCGGCATTAAGGGGCTAAAACAGGAACTGGTCGGCTCGGAGTAGGTATACTGTGTCTGAGTGGGGTATTCATGTTAAAACAGCGGCATGGTATCTCAGTGAGCTAGCAGTATAAATCGGCATCAGTCCGGACTACGCACGCACGCACGCACGCACGCACGCACGCACGCACACACCTGCATGCATGCACGTCGCTATATAAGTGCAATAATCTTGGATGCGACGTTAAACCCAATTTCACCTCACCTTACCTTCTTGTTACGTGACAATCTCATTAAAATAGGTTCTTTTACTCTGATACAATACCTCTGAGTGTGAAGATCCGTGACATCTCAATAGAAAGGTTGTCAGGTGAACTGTGTGAACTTTAACCCTTCTGTCAAAATGTAGGTTCTCAAGCCTGCCAAACAGATGTCAGCTTTCTAAAACATTACTTTACTACCTTAATTTGGAAATGTTGATCTTAACTAAACTTATCTGCCACAGAACACAAACATAGTAGCCCCTCTTGGGTGTAGATGCCATGACGATCAGAAATGACTTTATTTATGGTATACCTTAAAGAGTATGATAGGGTGGCTATGTATTTTTGCATTCGGATGTCCCTAATTATATTCCCTTTTGAGATAACAGAAATTCAGATGTGGTTGTCTGAACTCTTCATTCACTTGTACTCAGAGTTTACGCTGATTAGCTGATTAAAAAGTTCAACTGATGTAACATTCTTTGGAGAGTTTTTTTATGAGATTGGTGACGTAAGAAAACGACCATCTGACTTCTCATTGAATTTTTGTGTTAAGTTTTGGTGCTGTGCTGTTGACAATTTACATAGCAAGTTTGTGGCCTTTTCAAATTGTGCATTCTGTGTTTGGACCTTGTTATTCACGATGTTATACATCTTGTGGATCAATGCTCGTGATATCTGTAACTGGATTGTCTGGTCCAGACTTGATTATTAATTTATTTCCTCCGTCATATAGATGGAATATTGCTGAGTGCGGTGTCAAACAACAAACAAAAGCATATGAAACGATGCTTGAAATACAATTAAAGTACAATTGAAATTTTATGTCATAATCTATTAATTCATTCACTTGAAGCGATATGATGTAATTTTTTTTTTCACTGCACACAATACACAATAAAGCAATTTTCCCCCTAAACTTTATATGTTATACTCTGTCCCTATGAAATGTTGAGCAGTAATAGTGTTCAGTTATCTTGCTTGATTCCCTCATTGACAACTGAATCCGTCAGTACATGAACCTACCGTATATATACTGTTTTTGTGATGGTCAGTGAGAAAATTAATACCTCTGGAAATATGAAATTTTCACATAAAGGGCCCATTTCAGAAACTTCCTGGTGTGAACCCTGCAACATGACCCTGGTCCATGTCAAAACAAATTCTTTAAATTGAGCCCTGATATGTTTGGTTAAATTAGACTTGTGAAATGAAATCATTTCAAACCGAATCCCATAAATATTCTTGTATAGTACACACTTCTTTTCTTGATATTTAGACTCCATAATTAGGGGTGGGTATGTTTATTACCACCTCTTTGTTTCAGCTGATTTGTAAAATTAGCCAGAAATAGTTTTAGATGTGTTTGTTATTATTCTGTCAGCTATGCTGCTGGTCATGACAGGTCATCAGTTCAACAATCAATATCTCCTGCTTTTGAATGAAAATACTACAACTACCCACCTGAACCTACCCTTAATTTATAAACATTTTCTGATAGAAAATATATGTTGCCACAGGCTAATTTGCAGATCATGTGACCGGACTTTTCTCTCATTTTAAACAAAGGTTGAAATCAGATTAGCCTGACTCTTTACATGTGGCATAATTATTAAGACATGCTACTAAGTCTGCAACTGTGTGGTGCACGACAATATATAGTTACAATAGCTCTCTGTATGGCTTCAATGTTAGCTTGTGATGTAAACAAAGAAAACGATGCAAATGGATATATATTACATTAAGTAATACGTTACCACTGTTATACCGAGGCTGTTGTCTCCCACAACTGCTGCTATAGCGAAATCTACCACAGAGATCTCAATTACCTCATGCAGCACGTGCGTAGCCACCTAGCTGCCATGTGACACCCTTCACTCTTGTCTCCTTCGTCTGCTTAGCAAGACGTGTTTTCTCCTGCTGAAGCGTTCCTGGAAGATTTGGTGATATTTATTATAGTTTATTCTCTAATAAACTGTGCTTTTATGGGGCGTTGCGGTAGCTACGCTTGGTTATAATTTTCCCGCCCTTTTTTCTCTATACTTGCGGGGTTCGCGTATGCACGTTGTGTTTTACGTTTCCCCTGTTCTTGTATGTTTTGGGGGTTAACATAACTTATTTCTTTAATAAAAGTTATATGTGTATGTTATATGTTCACATTGCTCGTTTATTTTCTTGTGAAAATGCTCGTTTGTGAATCGTTGTGGTGCGTGCGTTGTAACCATGTTTTGTTCTTTGTTTATAGCAAACAATGTCTGACATGGATATGTCCCCAGTATCCACCCCCTCTACCCCTGCTCCTCGGAGTTGTGGGGTGTGCAGAAAGTTTTTGTCATCCCGGGATCCCCACGATCGTTGCCCGCGGTGCAGGGTTCCTTGCGGGGACACCCGGTGTACCCTGTGCGAAGGTCTGGGGCCTGCGGAGTTTGAGCGGTACCGGCTGTACGTACAGTCCGTCTCCACCCCTGTGGTGGCCGGTTCGTCCGGTCGGGGTCCCCGTGCGGGTACCACCTCCTCGGCTGCGGCGGATCCCCTTGCGGCCCTCGGGCTGTCTGGGGCTTCCGTCGCCGCATTATTGTCGAAACTTGTGGACTCCAAGCTGGCGGCCTTATCGCAAGATAGGCCGCTGGCTGTTCCGTCCCCGGCCTCTTCGGTGGCCGCGGGTTCGGACGCGGGGTCCACCGGTACGGCGGCGGCTGCCGTGGTTACCGGTCCTTCCCCCGAACCGTTGCTTCCGCTATCGGTTAAGGACCGCGTTGCCATGGTGTATGACCTCTTCGAGGACATGCCAAAGCCCCTGCCGATACCGCGGGGAATCCACGGTTCCGTGGGTTCCTCCGAGGTATACGACGAGACGTCCGACAAGGCTTTCCCGGCATCAACCTTGCTGCGCGGGATTAAGCCTTCTTTGGAGAAGGCCTTCACGGCTGCCTCCGGTCGGGGTCTCCCGTTACCTCCCCCGTCGTGGAGAAAAGGGTCTTTCCCAGTACATGACCTTGCCTTTCCCGAGGCTGGTCCTTCTGCGGAAGCCCATGTGGAGCGTTTGGGGGTCCGTGCCCCACCGGTTGCCACGGTACCACAAGGTACCTTGCAACAGCTGGACACCCTCGCTCGACACTCCATGCTGGCAATGTCTCACGGAGACACATACCTGGCTGCAGCGGCCAGTCTGGTCGAAGGTTCTCCCACGGACCGAGACCAGCGCATTTACAACTGCTTGCTCGGTTTGAATGCTTCCCTGGAGTACGTTGCCGGGGCTTCGGCCTTTGTTTCCGGCACGTGCCATTTTCTTCGGCGCCAGTCGTATCTGGTTGCTTCAGGGTTGGACGCTGCTAATCAGGAGGTGCTCCTTTCGCAGCCTTGGTCTGCTCGGACCCTGTTTAATAACAAGATCCCTGGGGTTCTGAAGGAACAACAGGCCGCTGTGTCTGCCGAGGCCTCTCGGCACACACTGGATCTTGTGGGGTCCTTGCATAGGCGCCTGGGTGCCGCTCCGAAGCGGAGCGCGCCCCAGGATGCTGCGTCCGGCAGGCCTAAGGGGTCGGGTCCTTCTTCCTCCGGGAAGAAGCCCCGCTCTGAGGGCTCCGGTAAGGGTTCTCAGCAGCCCTTTCGCGGGAAGAAGGGGAACTGGGGGAAGCCCAAGTCGTCTAAGGACGGCAAGGGCCCCTCCAGGTGACTCTCATTGGAGGGGTTCGTATGCCGACAGCGCCAACTTCGGTTGGCCCGTAGGCGAACCCGAGTCACTTGGCCCTGGACAGTTGCGCCTGCCGCAGCCCGTCCGGCCCCCCTCTCTTTCCCCAGTGGGAGCCAGACTCCAGACTTACTGGGAGAATTGGGAACAAGTGTTCGACGACCCGTGGGTGGTCAACACGATTCGGTACGGCTATCGGCTCGATCTCATAGCGAATCCGCCGCTCACCGTTGCCCCGTCGGCAGGTTTCTATTCGGAAACCGTTCTTCCCTTCCTCGCCGATGCCATCGGCAGGTTGGTGGAGAAGAGGGCAGTTCGGGAGTTAGCTCTACCAGAAATAACACCGGGGTTTTACTCCAGGATATTTCTCGTTCCCAAGAAGGACAGTGCCGAACTCAGAATGATTCACAACTTGAAATCGTTCAACGAGTTCTACCTGCGCAAACCGCCCAAGTTCAGAATGTTGAGCTTGACGGACCTGACAGCACTGATCATGCCGGCCGACTGGCTAGCTTCGATCGACCTGAAGGATGCTTATCTGCATGTTCCGATTCACTCGGATCATCAGAAGTATCTCAGGTTTGTCTTTCAAGGCAGGCACTACGAGTTGGTTGTACTCCCATTCGGTCTTTCATCCGCTCCCTGGCTGTTCACCCGGTTAACCACCCCCATAGTGGGGTTCCTCCACCGGAGGGGTGTCCGGTACTTCGCGTACCTGGACGACTCGCTAGTAGCAAATCGAATGTCGGACACCCTGTCACGCCATCTCGTTTTCGCACGTCGGCTCTTGGAGCAATTGGGGTGGATTGTCAATCTCCCCAAGAGCGAGTTAACCCCTTCTCAGAACTTGCAGTTCATCGGAGGTCGGTTCAACACGGTGTCCCATCGCCTATTTGTCCCCCCAGACCGGTGGCACAAAATTCAGGCGATGATTGCCAAAGTCTTAGCGGTGCAACAGACTGTTCACTTTTGGGAACAGCTGTTAGGGCTACTTGTATCAGCCCAGGACTGCACCGAACGGGGTCGTCTCCAACTCCGCCCGCTGCAACGGTTTGCTAATCCAGTTGTTAGCAACGGAGGTGAACAGTGCGACCGTCGCCCTCCCGGATCGGCTCCGACCGCATCTGGAGTGGTGGACGCTCCCTTACAATGTCTTATCAGGAGTCTCTATGCGGCCCTACCGGGCCACGTTGAACCTGTATACAGACGCCTCTCTAGTGGGCTGGGGCGCCCATCTAGAGGGGGAGGTGAGCTCGGGGCTGTGGTGCGTAGACGAACTAGGTCTTCACATCAATTGTCTCGAGTTCAAGGCAGTGATCAACGCAGTCAATCACTGGAAGCATCGTCTCGTCGACGCCCGGCTCATGCTGGCGACCGACAACACGACGGTAGTGTCCTATGTGAACAAACTGGGGGGAACCCACAGTCACTCGCTACTCGATCTCACGTTCGAGTTTTACGCTCTGGTGGACAGTGTCCCGTGCCAGATACGCGCCCGTCACATCCCAGGTGTGCGGAACGTACTGGCCGATGCTCTATCGAGGCCTCAGGATCCGAGCCCCACAGAGTGGATGCTGAACCCAGTGGTGTTTCAGTGGCTGTGCGAACGTTTGGGTCGTCCGATGGTCGACCTGTTCGCAACACGGTTCAACAATCAACTCCCGTTGTTTGTATCACCAGTCCCGGACCCGAGGGCCATCGATCACGATGCTCTCGCGTTAGACTGGACGGGCTTGGACGCTTATGCTTACCCGCCGACAGCGTTGATACCACACATTCTAAGCCGGCTTCGAGGAGTTCGCTGTCGAATGTTACTGATCGCGCCCATGTGGCCGAACAGATCGTGGTACCCCGACTTGCTGACCCAGGTCACGCAGTCGCCACTCCCACTGCCTGTGAGACCGGATCTCTTGATCCACCCTCACACCCGTCAGCTTCATTCAAACGCAGGGCAGTTCAATCTGCACGCGTGGATGTTGTCACCGAGCGTCTGAGGAGTAAAGGTTTTTCTCGCCGGGCGTCTCGTGCATACGTTAGTATGCATCGTGATTCTACCCAGAAGGTGTATAATGCACGTTGGGTTATTTTCACGAAGTGGTGTTGTAAACATCACATTCATTCGCCAGATAAGGTATCTGTGCAGGATATTGCTCGTTTCATGTCTCACTTGCGAGAGACCCGGAAACTCTCCGGGGGTTCCATTGCCAACTATGTCTCGTCCGTTGCTACGGTACGGGACGTTGCTATGGGTACCAGTCTCTCCAAAGAGCCGGTGATACGGGGTATTATCAAGGGTTTCAAACAGCACGATCTTAAGAAGGGCCGCCTTCGGGCACCGGCCTGGGATCTTTCCCTAGTGTTGCAATCACTCACGGAAGCTCCGTATGAACCCTTGCATAGTGCTTCGTTCCGGCATGTGACTTGGAAAACAGCATTTCTCCTCTCCTTTGCCACGGCGGCACGTGTATCCGAAATTCATGCACTCGATGTCGCCAAGGTACGATTCGATAGGGGTGACGAAGGAGCGGTCCGCCTGGGCCTGCTCATGGGCTTCGTCGCCAAGAATCAGAGAGTCGGGCAAACGGAGAGAGAATTCACTGTAAGATCCCTCAAAGAAATCTTACATCCTGCTGATACTGAGGACAGAGCGCTGTGTCCGGTTAGGGCCCTTAAGTATTATCTTAAGGCTTCGAATGAACGTAGACAAGGGCGTGACCGTCTGTTCATATCGTGTAACCCTAATCGCACGGTTGACATAACTCGCAACTCGATTGCGTTGTGGCTTCGTTCTGTCATCAATCTGGCGTACCGGTCTCGGGGGTTACCGGTAGCGGGGTCAAACCCGCACGAGATCAGGGCGCTAGCGGCAACATTTGCCCTACACTCGAATATCTCTGTTCACAGAATATTACGAGGTTGTTACTGGCGTTCTGACTCGGTTTTTGCCAATCATTACCTCAGAAAGGTTTCTGATGAAGACGTGGAGGGGGTGCTGATCGCGGCACAAGCGGTCATCTAGGGGGTGTGTCCAGCGCAATTCCAAACTCCGCAGTCGTCAGTCCTTGCACGGTGGTCAATCTGGGTCGTCTCCAATGTTCCCACGCCGTGGGTACAGGAGTGGGGGTCCTGCAAACCAGCGCACTCACACCACAGGTGAGGCGGCTTTTTGTGTGTTTTGTCCTTATTTGTATTTTGACAATTATGCATTTAATTGTCTGTCGTGTATTCCAACCTTGCGATACATGCTTACGAATACTGGAATTAGGTCACGCGCCTAATGCATACTTTAAGTAGGCTTGCTCTGGGATATACGGTCTGAAGGAAATTAATTTCCCTCTTTTCGACTGTTTAACCTGATCTAAGATTTAGCTCACGCGGATACAGTGTTCTCATCCGCTGCGGCGATGAAATACCTATCCAGTGGGGCCGTTTGGAGTCACCAATCGTTTTGGCATTGACGATTGAGCCTTACGGTATGCGCTTGACAGTGCTTTGGTATTCCTATAGGGTAACGCCTAGCTAGGTGCATGCGCATCGAGTGCTTCCGCCTTGGTGTTTACTTCCGCTGGTCGGAAGGAACGCTAGCAGTCAGGATTCGGGTTGTAGGTGCTCCCCACCGCCTACTGTGGTAGTCAGCCTCGGTATAACAGTGGTAACGTATTACTTAATGTAATTTGTAGAATTTTCCTATTCGGAATATTCTATAAGTAATACGTTACCACTGGGCTGCTGCCCGCCCGTCCGTCCCCCGAGCACTTGCTCTCGCAGGAGACAAGAGTGAAGGGTGTCACATGGCAGCTAGGTGGCTACGCACGTGCTGCATGAGGTAATTGAGATCTCTGTGGTAGATTTCGCTATAGCAGCAGTTGTGGGAGACAACAGCCTCGGTATAACAGTGGTAACGTATTACTTATAGAATATTCCGAATAGGAAAATTCTACAATTTTTTCACTTTTTTGGATAGTTTCAGATTTGTTGATATTCTTTTTCTGATGACAGATTATGACAGCCTGAAATAATACTTAAGAAAGTCAGTGCGTATTATACACAATAGATGTTTTTCCAGGATATAATTGCCCATAATTAGGTAAGCTTATTATACACGAAAAAATGCAGGACTTCGAATCACATCATTTGTTAACGATAATTCCTAAATTATTTATTTCATTCATGACTGCAGAATAATTCGAACATTTGTTTTCCAAAAGTTAAATTCCGCTGACAGGGGAGAAATCTATAATTTCATCAGAGCTCTCAGAATAATGCAGAACCCTTGTGGGACTGAGTGTCAGAGACCGTTTTGTTTTGCATTAGTTCTACAAAAGTCTTCCTTGAAAATAGTTGCAATATTGCTTACTAAACGTATTATCTTTGTTATTTCTTTTACAAATGAATTGTAAACCGTCTGTACCAAAATATAAAGAAACTTATGAGTCTGCTAGCCTGAAATTGTATTTTGGCATTATTTTCAGTAGATTTTAGTCTAAGCATGAGTTAATGTTACTGGACTAGAAGAAATTTAACTGGACCCTGGCTTCGGACTAGTGTCTAAGGTCACAGACTGGTAAATGATATGAAAGACTTGATGGATGGTAAGTTCCTGTTCCAAATGAAGATGATCAAGTTGTGGCTGTTGTGTTTGCAGCAATGTTCAGAACATCCTGAATGACCCCACCATCATGCAGCACATTCACCAGATGTCACAGTCCCTGCAGAAGTCGGGGCAGCTGCAGTCCGACATGGCCACCCAGGAGCAGCTGCACAAGAAGATGCTGCTGCAGCAACAGGAGGAATTTGACAAGGAAATCAATCAGGTACGCCAAGGAAAGAGACAGGGTTCGAAATAGCCACCTGCCATGGGCCCGTGGCAGGGCTCATGCTTGCCGTAAAAGGCGACTATGCTTGCCGTAAAAGGCGACTATGCTTGTCGTAAAAGGCGACTAACGGGATCGGGTGGTCAGGCTTGCTGACGTGGTTGATGCATGTCATCGATCCCAATTGCAGGGATCGATGCTCATGATATTAATCACTGGATTGTCTGGTCCAGACTCGATTATTTACAGACCGCCGTCATATAGCTGGAATATTGCTGAGTGTGGCGTAAAACAACCAACCAACCAACTGTGGCAGGTCTCGTGTAGGGCCTTAGTTTCAAAGTTGTTGGGTCCTTAGGGCCTGCAGTATATTTACCTGTTGATTTGTTTGTCACAATAAGCTGTCCTGGTGGCAGACTCACATATTATTTTATTTCAACCACTGCAGTAGACACCATCAGTTAATTCTACCTGAGGTATATGCAATATGCCACTAGCACAAATACAGTAATTTTACTGGAGACAAATCGCTTGTGGACATTTTCAAGAGTTGTTTATGTTCAACTTTTAATAGGACATTGTTGTTTTATTACCATATTTTAAACATCATGACATTGAAAATCACAGTCTGTCCTAGAAATTGAACCAATCTGAATCCCTGTAAATACAGCTTTTTGGAAAGGAGGGACACAATTAATATTCACTATGCTTCATGAATGCAAATAATTTGTGAAACAGTTCGTGTTTGATAGTCATGTCCACGTATGGTATGCTTCAAAGGGGTCTTTGGGTTCTTGTACTGTCTTGGTCCACGTTTATAGTTCGTCTAAATCTTCACTAGTCTTATCAGTATCTATCCCTGGTATAGGCGTTACAGTATAGGTCAGATCTAAGTAAATTGTCACACCTCCACCTGTCAGGTTAGAACTCATGTCCTCATGTTTGATTTTGTGAAGGGTTTACCTAATAGGACAGGGAAACATTCAAGATCTCTGGTTTTGGTGGTAAGTCCCCTAGTTACCTTTATTTGGACAGTAGTGAGACTTAGTCAAGCTGCTGTCTTTGCACTTATTGCCGATCAGGTTTCTCTGTGGAATTTGATCTTTCCCAAAAGTGCTACAGTAATATCGTGGAATCTTGGCAGGATGACTTTTGATAGTTGTTTCTGTCTCTCTCTGTTCATGGACAAAAGCTCTTTTGTTTTAATTTGTTATTTAAAAATATGGATATATCTACAGCTGAATGACAATAAATGATTGAAGTTTCTTTGTATCATGGATATGTGTAATAGGTTTAAGTTAGGACCAGTCATCAGTGGCCCATGTAGTCATCCCTGGCAGCATGATGGAAAGAAACCTTCTTGACACCCCACGATTGTCAACATGTTTCGAGGTTGTTTGCAGTACCTTTCTGTCTACAGAATCAATGTTCCTGGTTTCTAAGATTGGTTTATACTTCCTTGTATAAGAGTGCTAATGGCATGATTAGGATTGTAATGTCAATGAAGATTGTAATGTCAATGAAGATTGTAATGTCAATGAAGATTGTGATGTCAATCAAGATCAATGAAGATTGTGATGTCAATGAAGATTGTAATGTCAATGAAGATTGTGATGTCAATGAAGATTGTGATGTCAATTAAGATCAATGAAGATTGTAATGTCAATCAAGATTGTAATGTCAATCAAGATTATAATGTCAATGAAGGAAGGTTCTGGTTCCTGTAATGCATCAGTAGAAAATATCCTTGAAAGAAATGTTTGGGCACGGACTGTTACTATTTCAATATTAAGGGCATATCCTGAAGTGTTGGTGTTGACCCTTTTTTTGCACTTATTTGCCGATCAGGTTTCTGTGTGTGGAACTTGATCTTTCCCAAAAGTGCTACAGTAATATCGTGGAATCTTGGCAGGATGACTTTTGATAGTTGTTTCTGTCTCTCTCTGTTCATGGACAAAAGCCACATTTATTTAAAAATATGGATATATCTACAGCTGAATGACAATAAATGATTGAAGTTTCTTTGTGTCATGGATATGTGTAACAGGTTTAAGTTAGGACCAGTCATCAGTGGCCCATGTAGTCATCCCTGGCAGCATGATGGAAAGAAACCTTCTTGACACCCCACGATTGTCAACATGTTTATTTAGAGGTTGTTTGCAGTACCTTTCTGTCTACAGTATCAATGTTCCTGGTTTCTAAGATTGGTTTATACTTCCTTGTATAAGACTCTTTAAGAGTGCTAATGGCACGATTAGGATTGTAATGTCAATGAAGATTGTAATGTCAATGAAGATTGTGATGTCAATCAAGATCAATGAAGATTGTGATGTCAATGAAGATTGTGATGTCAATGAAGATTGTGATGTCAATGAAGATTGTTATGTCAATCAAGATTGTAATGTCAATCAAGATCAATGAAGATTGTGATGTCAATCAAGATTATAATGTCAATGAAGGAAGGTTCTGGTTCCTGTAATGCATCAGTAGAAAATATCCTTGAAAGAAATGTTTAGGCACGGACTGTTACTATTTCAATATTAAGGGCATATCCTGAAGTGTTGGTGTTGACCCTTTTTTTGCACTTATTTGCCGATCAGGTTTCTGTGTGTGGAACTTGATCTTTCCCAAAAGTGCTACAGTAATATCGTGGAATCTTGGCAGGATGACTTTTGATAGTTGTTTCTGTCTCTCTCTGTTCATGGACAAAAGCCACATTTATTTAAAAATATGGATATATCTACAGCTGAACACAATAAATGATTGAAGTTGTTTTGTATCATGGATATGTGTAACAGGTTTAAGTTAGGACCAGTCATCAGTGGCCCATGTAGTCATCCCTGGCAGCATGATGGAAAGAAACCTTCTTGACACCCCATGATTGTCAACATGTTTATTTAGAGGTTGTTTGCAGTACCTTTCTGTCTACAGTATCAACGTTCCTGGTTTCTAAGATTGGTTTATACTTCCTTGTATATGAGTGCTAATGGAACGATTAGGATTGTATTGTCAACGAATAAGGTCCCGGTGCCCGTAGGGCATAAGTAGAAAATATACCTTAAAGAAATATTTTGGCACAGATAATGACCCTTTTTTGCACTTATTTGCCGATCACATTTCTGTGTGTGGAATTTGATCTTTCCCAAAAGTGCTACATCAACATCTTGGAACTTTGTCAGTGTGGCCTCTTGTGGTCACATCTGTCACTCTTTCCCTGGACACTTAATATTTGTATTTGAGGATTATTGAGAAGCATGGGATGTTTACAATAGACACTTGCATGAGTCACAAGAGATTCGGGCAATATTGCCCTTAGTTTGCTTTCAGAATATAAGTCATGCTTATTTTATCATTGTATGTTGGTTTTTTGTCGAATGACTTATGTTGACGATAGCTTTCAAGATGATATCATTATACCATGGAGAACATCTACAGTTTTGAATTTGCGTAGGTGCTATTTGAGTTACCATAAGAGTATGGACAGTGTTCGAAATTCTGGCACTCTTGAAGGACCCCTACATTTGTAACATAGGTTATGACAAGGACCTCTCAGCTATCATGCTATGTCAAACACTGATATTGACAGCTAAAGGTAGATTTAGGCGAAGCAAGTGTACATACTATAGCAGGTCAATGGATGTTTTGTAATGTTCTGTATTTGCACATTTGCCCTTAGGGTTTCTGTGTGTGGAATTTGTTCTTTCCCAAGAGTGTAACATGAACATCCTGCAACTGTCACTGTCAGTCTTCCCATTATAACAGTATCAGTAAACCTGAATCACATGTTAATTGAAGCTGTTCCCTTTTCAGGGCCATAAAGGGGCGTTTGTGCCTATCGGAATGGACATGCCACAGACCATCCCGTACGGTAATCTGAATCAATCCCACGGGGAAGAAATGGATCTGGATACCAGTCACGACGAGAAGAAAGATGACGACCACGATCATCGCCGTAGCTCGCATAGGTCCAGGGATAGGTCACGGTGAGTTCAAGCATATTCCTGGGGATTCAGGGACAATTATGGCCGTTGCTCCATGCTTTAAACTTAGTGCATAGTTTGTGCAATGAGGACAAGTTTTCTCCAAAACTACTGAAGTGAGCTTATCTAAGAGAAACTTAACAAGACAGTTATATTTTTCAGAGGGGACTTTTTTATGTATTAATTTCACATTTAAGCAGCCCAAGTGCCTATCTATTTTTAAGGCTTTATTGTTCATAGTTTATATTCACTACTATATGGGCAAACAAAATTCTAATATGCCCCATGGCATGGGGGTAGTGATAACGCTGTTTTCTTGTTTGGCATTGTTTGAAGACAACCACAATGTTAGTGATATATTGCTGAATGCCGCAGGATACCTTCACCCACACACTTCGGTATTTAATGGAGTGCTTGAAGCCTCGAATTCGAGTATATTCAGTTTCTTCCTTTCATTTAATTTATGGTAACCAAATCTACAGCAGTGAAAACTGACACCAGTTACAAGAGGTGGCAGTCCAGTCAAGGTGGTTGTGCGATTGCCTGCAGTATATCATATTCATGTTCCGTTCAAGTTTTCTATGATCAAAGTTCATTGTTGTAGGTCTCCGAAAAAACGCAAGAGGTCTCGTTCAAGATCACGTGAGCGACGGCGGAGGTCAAGGTCAAGGGATAGGCATCGAAGGTCAAGGTAAGGTTTTGGATGTATATTGTGCTTAATTAATGTCCATACTCACAAAAGCTGAGTGTTAATAGTCCTATTCCAGTGACTTTGACAAATTTGACGACCACCTCTGTGGTCTAGATGTAGAGTGTCAGCCCGGAGAGAGGAAGGTCCAGGGTTTGATCCCCGGCCGCGTCCTACCAAAAGACGTTAAAAGATTGTACTTGTTACCCTGTCTGGCCCTCGGTAGTAAGGGGCTAATGACTCGGAGTCAGTATACCATGTCTAAGTGGGGTATTCATGTTAAACTGCAGCATGGTATATCAGAAGGCAAGCACTATAAAATCGGTATCATTCCACGCACGCACGCACGCACGTACACACGCCGCAGAATAATCTTGGACGCGACATTAAACCGCATTTCACCTCACCTGTCTGATTGTTTGTGCAAATGTGAGGAAGACTTATTTTGTCAGGGTATCAAGAAGCCTGTGATACTTCTTTGCAGATCTCGTGACCGAGACAGAGAACGCCAGAAAGAAAAGGAGAAGGAACGCCGGAAAAAGGGCTTGCCTATTATCAAAGAAAAACATATTAGTGGTAAGCTGAAGATGATTAAGCTGAAGATGATTAAACCCGTGAAGATCCGGGGTAGAATAGGTCTTCAGCAACCCATGCTTGCCGTAAAAGGCGACTATGCGTGTCGTAAAAGGCGACTAACGGGATCGGTGGTCAGGCTCGCTGACTTGTTTGATGCATGTCATTGGTCCGAATTGCGTGGATCGATGCGCATGATGTCAATCACTGGATTGTCTGGTCCAGATTTGATTATTTACAGACCGCCGTCATATAACTGGAATATTGCTGAGTGTGGCGTTAAACAACAACAAACCAACCAACTGAAGATGATTACATCTTGGAAAAATAAGTTTTTACTTAAACATTTGAGAAAATTCATCATTTGAACAGCAATTGTGTGAGAAGAATGCTGTTTGAAATAAATAAATACTTTGCATACTATGCATTTTCCTTTGATTAAACTTTTGTTTTGTTTCAGTGTGTAGTACGACTTTGTGGATAGGTCATATATCCAAGTATACTACAGAAGAGGAACTGAGAGAAGAAATAGAAAAATATGGTGTTGTAGAATCTGTAAATGTGAGTGATTTATGAAAGCCTTCTATCCTTATACAATTTACATGTATGCACTCCATACAGATAATGATCATAAGTCAGCATCTTTTCCATTAATGGCTTGTTCTTTTGCAGTTCTCAGAGTATATTTGGCGATGTATTTTGTTGAAATTTGTTTGTTGTAACCAAGTCTGATCACCAGATTAATTTAGTTGCTTCTAACGACCAGCATAGGTTGATGTAGACCAGTATTATTACCCAGAATCACCATGTCTTGCAGTTGATGGAACTTGAGTATAGAATCTGTGCCAGTGGTTATCTTAGGGATCTCTTGCATATGTTGAACCTTAATTGAGGATGGTGGCATCATTAGCCTGGTCATAGGAGGACCGTAATTCGCTTAGCTGAGGTGCATCCCTTAAGATTGCCAGAAATATATGATCATGGGTTTAAACATATTGCTGGGATTGTTGGTACCATTCCTACTGTTTAACCAAAGTGGTAAATGTCTTAGACCTGCATCACATCGCTCTTTCCTCTCACATGAAGCTGACACGCCGTAGTGTAACCTCTCCCTTTGTTTTGCAGATGATTCCCCCAAGGGGATGTGCGTATGTGTGTATGGCGAGAAGAAAAGATGCCTATAAGGCTGTTGAAAAGATGGCTCGAGGTTGCAAGATAAATGGGAGTACTATTAGAGTGAGTAGTAGCCTTCCTGTACACAAAACACTTTGTCTTCTCTATACATTGTTCAAAATGAAGAGGAATTGTCAAATGGATGCCGTATGTTCTTACAATTTACATAAGTCTGAAACACTGCATTTGTATTTTGACTTGGACAACTTGACATACAGAGTTGTGCCCCTTGGCACATGTTGATTTGTGAATGGGTTTTAGCAGTATCAGACTGAATGTTTCAGATTGCGTTTGCTCCTGGAATTGGTGTGAAGGGTAATGAGTACAAGGAGGGCTGGCATGCAGAGCTGGGAGTTACTTACATTGCATGGAATAAACTGCCACTCGAGATTAACCCTCTTTGTGAAGGAGGCATGATCGACGAGGACTCCCTGCCCACACACCTCCGAGGTAAGGCGATGTGCATGTTCAGGTTGAGGTGTATGTCCAACAAGATTTATCTTGTCTTCAGAGTAGCAGACATTTTTATTTATGTGTTTGACTTGAAGGTATATTCTGCCATAAAAAACTGTTTGAAAAGTAGGTTAATGCCCTTTGGGGGACTCTGAATAGTTTCTTTTCAGGTCAGGAGTGAAATGATGATCCTATTTTTCTGTTAGAGTCAGGCCGATCTTAGCACAAGGACTTTGTCAATACTATACTTTAGCATGGAATGAGACTCAAACAATAGTTGTAATGCTAAGATCACTTTTAGGACCCTGCATGTAGGTCCTGTCCAGTAAGCTGCAATGTCTAGCTTTGTCCAACATTTCTCAAAGCAGCAGTGTCTGTCATATGTTCAGGGGATGGATGGCCAAGTAGTCTTAAGGTGCTGCATTTCACTTCTTCCCACATCATGCTGACAGGTGCTGCTGTAACTGAAATACTCCTTACTGAACTATGATTTGTACAAATCCAACTTTGTGTGAAAGAGGACGTCTCCCGTGTGACGTTTTTTCTTGTTGATGGTATTGGTATCAATGGAATAATTGTTTTCTGCACTTATTTGCCGATCAAGTTTCTGTGTGTGGAATCTGATCTTTCCAAGAGTGCTACATCAACATCTTGGAACTTTGTCAGTGTGACCTCTTGTGGTTACATATGTCACTCTTTCCAGGGATAGTTCTGATTTTCATATTTCAAATGAAACAAGATTTCTACAGCAACTAGTTGAAGTCGGTACAATCAGATGAATGAGCCAGAATGGTTGGAAGCAGAAGAATGGCTCCATTATTGAGAGGAATGCAGGATTGTAAATCTCTTTTGCCACAAATAGCTTCAAACTTGGCCTGCGATGTCGTTGTCACTTGCCCATAAGTACTTGAAATATGTTTGGTGTATTTCTTGTTAGTCCGAGATGCGTTTCCTTAAAATATTGAATTTGATGTTTTCAAAATATTTATGTTCATTTTGTGGTAATCTTCTGAAGAAAAAGTGAGTAACTTTTCTTTCCATTTCTTCAGGAAACAATCCTATTGTGTGGTGGTATAGAAAAGTAATCTGACTGTGATCAGAGCTACAGATAAGCAGCGTATTAGCGTAAAAAAAACCCCAGAAATATTCCAAACCCAATTACTTTCAATTAACTTGCATACAGAAACGCATGCATTAAATGAGAAACTGCTTTTCCAGCATACGTACAAAGGAGCTAATTTCTGAAACACAATTACGAGCTAATTTACTTTCCGAGTCAATCCTATATATTTAGAACAGTTATATACATCTAAAACATTATTTCATTTTTTTTAAATCTTAAAATCTTCACTAATTTTGGGAGAGTCAATAGTGTGAATAGATGAGTGACAAAATATTGTTTACCCAATGAAAAATGTAATAACCCAATTAAAATAGAAACCCTGGAGTAAAAACTCAATGGCTCAAAAAGTTATCTGGAGCTCTGTGTAATAAAACTCTTTGGTCTTTTATCATGTTTATCATCCATGATAACTTGATGCAGTTATTAATCAATTAATGATTGCTGGTTATCAGTGCCTTGGAAATTGAGTCTTTTTCCTGAAGATGTCAAGCTAGTGTTGGTATCAATGGAATCATTCTTTTTGCTCTTTGTCTCTGGACACACCTGAGGCTCTTTGAGCAGGACGCCACCACTCACTCACTTTGGAAACTTTGTCTGTGATGCCTTATAGTGTTCATGTTGCAAACAGTGGATGGAAAGTTATATGTCAGCACTTATTTGCCGATCAGTTTTCTCTATGAAATTTTGATCTTTCCTAAAAGTGCTACATCAACATCTTGGAACTTTGTCAGTGTGGCCTCATGTGGTCTCACCTGTCACTCTTTCCATGGACATTTAAGTTTTATATGTGAGGATTGTTCAGTAGAAGCTTATGAGCGTTTGACATGTTAGTTCTGAGAGAAGACTTTGGAGATGACTCGCACTCTCATTCTTTGTTGTCATAGTTCACAGGTATCTGTGCATGGTTCTACTGTTTGAAACTAAGCACACGATCAAAGATGCCTAGAGTTTGTTGGTTTGTTGTGTAACGCCGCACTCAGCAATATTCCAGCTATATGACGGCAGTCTGTAAATAATCAAATCTGGACCAGACAATCCAGTGATTGACATCATGAGCATTGATCCATGCAATTGGGATACGATGACATGCATCAGACAAGTCAGCGAGCCTGACCACCCGATCCCCTAGTTGCCTCTTCCGACAAGCATCGTCACCTTTTACGGCAAGGATGGGTTGCTGAAGATGCCTAGAGATAAATATTAGAAAACTTGGGTCCAGAGATAAAAATACTGGGGAACAAACCTTAAATTTCCTAGAACTCCTTTTTGAGTTAAAACACAGGTTCCATTTGTTGGTGTGATTGGCAATAACTTAGGAAGATTTGGGAAACTACTGCAGTTCACGTGAAGTCATGTGATGTTCCTACCTGCACTTATTTGCCGATCAAGTTTCTGTGTGTGGAATCTGATCTTTCCCAAGAGTGCTACATTAACATCTTGGACCTTTGTCAGTGTGACCTCTTTTGGTTACATATGTCACTCTTTCCAGGAATAGTTCTGATTTTCATATTTCAAATGAAACAAGATTTCTACAGCAACTAGTTGAAGTCGGTACAATCAGATGAATGAGCCAGAATGGTTGGAAGCAGAAGAATGGCTCCATTATTGAGAGGAATGCAGGATTGTTAATCTTTTTTGCCACAAATAGCTTCAAACTTGGCCTGCGATGTCGTTGTCTCTTGCCCATAAGTACTTGAAATATGTTTGGTGTATTTCTTGTTAGTCCGAGATGCGTTTCCTTAAAATATTGAACGTTGATGTTTTCAAAATATTTATGTTCATTTTGTGGTAATCTTCTGAAGAAAAAGTGAGTCACTTTTCTGTCCATTTCTTCAGGAAACAATCCTATTGTGTGGTGGTATAGAAAAGTAATCTGACTGTGATCAGAGCTACAGATAAGCAGCGTATTAGCGTAAAAAAAACCCCAGAAATATTCCAAACCCAATTACTTTCAATTAACTTGCATACAGAAACGCATGCATTAAATGAAAAACTGCTTTTCCAGCATGCGTACAAACATGACAAAGGAGCTAATTTCTGAAACACAATTACGAGCTAATTTACTTTCCGAGTCAATCCTATATATTTAGAACAGTTATGTACATCTCAAACATTATTTCATTTTTTTTAAATCTTAAAATCTTCACTAATTTTGGGAAAGAGTCAATAGTGTGAATAGATGAGTGAAAAAATATTGGTTACCCAATGAAAAATGTAATAACCCAATTAAAATAGAAACCCTGGAGTAAAAACTCAATGGTTCAAAAAGTTATCTGGAGCTCTGTGTAATAAAACTCTTTGGTCTTTTATCATCCATGATAAATTGATGCAGTTATTAATCAATTAATGATTGCTGGTTATCAGTGCCTTGGAAATTGAGTCTTTTTACCTGAAGATGACAAGCTAGTGTTGGTATCAATGGAATCATTCTTTTTGCTCTTATTTGCTGACCACGTCTCTGGACACACCTGAGGCTCTTTGAGCAGGACGCCACCACTCACTCACTTTGGGAACTTTGTCTGTGATGCCTTATAGTGTTCATGTTGCTAACAGTGGATATGTGGAAAGTTATATGTCAGCACTTATTTGCCGATCAGTTTTCTCTATGAAATTTTGATCTTTCCTAAAAGTGCTACATCAACATCTTGGAACTTTGTCAGTGTGGCCTCATGTGGTCTCACCTGTCACTCTTTCCATGGACATTTAAGTTTTATATGTGAGGATTGTTCAGTAGAAGCTTATGAGCGTTTGACATGTTAGTTCTGAGAGAAGACTTTGGAGATGACTCGCACTCTCATTCTTTGTTGTCATAGTTCACAGGTATCTGTGCATGGTTCTACTGTTTGAAACTAAGCACACGATCAAAGATGCCTAGAGTTTGTTGGTTTGTTGTGTAACGCCGCACTCAGCAATATTCCAGCTATATGACGGCAGTCTGTAAATAATCAAATCTGGACCAGACAATCCAGTGATTGACATCATGAGCATTGATCCATGCAATTGGGATACGATGACATGCATCAGCCAAGTCAGCGAGCCTGACCACCCAATCCCGTAGTTGCCTTTTCCGACAAGCATCGTCACCTTTTACGGCAAGGATGGGTTGCTGAAAATGCCTAGAGATAAATATTAGAAAACTTGGGTCCAGAGATAAAAATACTTGGGAACAAACCTTGAATATCCTAGAACTCCTTTTTGAGTTAAAACACAGGTTCCATTTGTTGGTGTGATTGGCAATAACTTAGGAAGATTTGGGAAACTACTGCAGTTCACGTGAAGTCATGTGATGTTCCTACCTGCACTTATTTGCCGATCAAGTTTCTGTGTGTGGAATCTGATCTTTCCCAAGAGTGCTACATCAACATCTTGGACCTTTGTCAGTGTGGCCTTTCATGGCCATCTCTGTCACTCTTTCCATGGACATATTACTCATAGGCTTCATACAGATATAACAAACTCAAAGAGCTCTAATTCTAGTTCGTTCGTAACCGTAGTTCATAATAAACATGTGTACAGTATATATACAGCCCTTGCTGGCACAGAAAAAGACAGTTCGTCATATCCGTCAGTTCGCTATGAGCATGTTCGTTATAAATGTTGTTTACTGTATATGTATTTGATGGAAAATAGACATGTTTGTCATAAGAGTTGAATGACTGTTTCTACTTTAAGACTTAAAGTGTTTCTTTACACCCTACCAACACATATTTACTTGAAAAAGCGATGCTTATTTGAGAGAAACAAATTAATATTACAGTAGAACACGGATATAGCGAACTGTTAAACAGTATCATATAAAATTTACGTATATAACGAACTCTCTACAGCCAACTTACGGATACAATGAACTGACAAGCCCATCTACCACTAATCATGCTAATTAGTGACGTGTATAGCAAACTAAGAAATCTCACTCAGTGTCAAGTGTCACTAACAATTGGCTGTATGCAATCAGCGGTGAATCAACACAATCAGCGGTGACGGATCAACCTTGTTCAACTAAAATGAATGTTATGAAATGTTATCAATTGAATGCTATGAAGAGATCACTGCTAATACAAGTCAAAGCTGCAATTACGTGTATTGTGTTTTGTTTTATCCAACATGGCGGAACGAGTGAAAATGCATATAAATAACAACGGATATAACAAACTGATTATTCTGGTCCCTTGTAGTTCGTTATATCCATGTTCTACTGTAGTTTGATCTCTGCCTGAATTTTAGGTACACTTCTCATAGGTGTCAGTCCTCCATTTTGATTATGTCACATCTCTCCTATTTTTTATGGTGCACAACGTTTATGGGGACTTGCCTGGGTAACCTTAAAGTTTCTGTATATTGGTATCAATGGAATATATATTTTTGCACTTCTTGCCGATCAACTTTCTATGTGTGGAATTTGATCTTTCCCAAAAGTGCTACATTAATATCGTGGAATCTTGGCAGGATGACTTTTGATAGTTGTTTCTGTCTCTCTCTGTTCATGGACAAAAGCCACATTTATTTAAAAATATGGATATATCTACAGCTGAACGACAATAAATGATTGAAGTTGCTTTGTATCATGGATATGTGTAATAGGTTTAAGTTAGGACCAGTCATCAGTGGCCCATGTAGTCATCCCTGGCAGCATGATGGAAAGAAATGTTCTTGACACCCCATGATTGTCAACATGTACCTTTCTGTCTACAGTATCAATGTTCCTGGTTTCTAAGATTGGTTTATACTTCCTTGTATACGAGTGCTAATGGCACGATAAGGATTGAAATGTCAATGAAGATTGTAATGTCAATCAATATTGTGATGTCAATGAAGATTGTAATGTCAATGAAGATTGTAATATAATGAAGATTGTAATGTCAATCAATATTGTGCTGTCAATGAAGATTGTGATGTCAATGAAGATTGTGATGTCAATCAATATTGTGATGTCAATGAAGGAAGGTTCTGGTGCCTGTAATGCATCAGTAGAAAATATACTTGAAAGAAATGCTTAGGCAGGGACTGTTACTATTTCAATATTAAGGGCATATCCTGAAGTGTTTGTGTTGACCCTTTTTTTGGCACTTATTTGCCGATCAGGTTTCTGTGTGTGGAATTTGATCTTTCCCAAAAGTGCTACATTAATATCGTGGAATCTTGGCAGGATGACTTTCGATAGTTGTTTCTGTCTCTCTCTGTTCATGGACAAAAGCTCTTTTGTTTTGATTTGTTATCTTAAGAAATGGATATTCTCTCCCCCTGAACGAGGGCTGGTCGGGTAGCCTAGTGGTGAAAGCATTGTACATGGGTAAAATGTGGGAAGCCCATTTCTGGTGTGCCCCGCCATGATATTGCTTGAATATCGCTAAAAGCGGTGTAAAACCATACTCTCTCACTCCAGCTGAACGACAATAAATGATTGAAGTTGCTTTGTATCATGGATATGTGTAACAGGTTTAAGTTAGGACCAGTCATCCGTGGCCCATGTAGTCATCCCTGGCAGCATGATGGAAAGAAACGTTAGCACACCTCAAATTACAAAGGTAAACAAAACATCTTTGTGTGATCCCTGCACTTTTATCCATGCAGTCAGGGTAGTTAAGCTGACATTCATATTGACCATGTCATATCATATTAAATATTTATCACATGAATTTAATTGCCCATTATTAAAGGTGCATACAACACACGAGTTGCCCATAATTAAGGGTGCATATAACACACAAGTGTGTATTATACGTGAATAAATAAGTCTTGTGTACATTGATCAATCGGAAGGGTTGCTAATTGGGATTGTTCACTAGCCAATATATTTGCAAATATTGCTGTGGGCACTTATTAGAGCAGGGTGCTTATTACGTTGAATAAGTCTGATATATGCATGCATGCATGCTACATGTCAGAATGTACATTTGTTCACAAATAATGATGTAACAATATTTTCTTATACATTGAAATGACATGTAAATCAATGGGAGACAACAAACACTGACTTAACATGGGATTGTGGTCACATGTGTCACTCTCTCCATGGACACTGCTAGTTTCCTGTGCTTGAAAGACTGCTTTGGCGTAAGACTCATTGATGTAGCCCCATCTTACTGCAGAATTAAGTACAGAATTTCTGTGAACAGAATACAATTCTGACCCATTGATACTACTCTATGTCAGGATTTCAGGGAAGAATTGTTCCCTGGTAACAACATGAAATCGTCTTTCGTAAGACCAAAATAGATTGGGTGGTCAGGCTCTATCAGTCTGTGACATGGCTGATTGCGCGTCATCAAAGGACACTTTCAATCACAGGCCCGGTCCCGATTGTTTACAGGACGCTGAATATAGCTGGAATATTGCAGGGTGTGGATTCAAATGACATTCATCTTCTCCCTCATTCAAAGCTGAACAATATGCAGACACCAGCCCTGGCTAAAGTTCTTATGTTTCTGCCTGTAAACTAGTTGTATTTTAGACTGATTTGTATTTTGGGGTGTAACTAAGGGAAAGGCCTATCAGTTTTTAGTTTGTGTTCATAGGATGGCCTTTAAATATATTTTCAGTATATTGTTGGTTTCGAACATTGTTTACTACTCAAAAGAAGTTAAAGAACACCTGATTTTGCCATGTGACTAGACCCGTGAAGATTTGGGGTAGAATAGGTCTTCAGCAACACATGCTTACCAAAAAAGACGACTATGCTTGTCATAAAAGGCGACTAACGGAATCGGGTTGTCAGACTCGCTGACTTGGTTGATGCATGTCATCTATCCCAATTGTGTGGATAGATGCTCATGATATCAATCACTGGATTGTCTGGTCCAGACTTGATTATTTACAGACTGCCGTCATATAGCTGTTATATTGGCGAGTGCGGCGTAAAACAGCAAACCAACCAACAGCCATGTGACTATAGTTAATCTCTCATGGCCACAACAGATTAACTTAAGTCACATGAAATAAATTGGGTGACCTTTAAAATATTTTGAGTAGTGTAAATCAGGGGCGGATCCAGGATATTATCATGGTTTGTGCTGTACATACCAGATATCATCAGATGTTAAAAAAAGAAAAAGGGAACACTCCGTCTGGATCTGCCACTATATATGGCCTGCAGCCACTGCTCACATATTCATTGGAAGTATTGCTCTTTCAGGTATGAAGTTCGGTCGGCAGGAGGAGCCTGATCAGGACAGCCAGGGAGCCCCAGTGCAAGCTGAGCCAGCCCAGCAGACCATACAAGCTCAGCCACAGTTCGGGGGACCTATGCAAGGTGAGCAAATAACTGAATTATTTTCTCACAACTGACACTGTCTTCTGTGCTTGCAAGTAATGAGGATAAAAACAGCCGAAGAAAATGTATTGAATGTTGATATATCGTCTGCTAAACTAGTCCCACTGTGCATGTCGGAAGTGGGGCTGCTGGGAAATTGTTTGAGCATCTGTCATATGGCGTGCCAGGTTGTTTTTGTGTGAGTGGATGTGAAGCTAAAGAAGAATAAAGAAGCGAAGTGTCTACTGCGGTTGGTTTGGTTATTTAGACTGGCATTAACACGGATCCCCACAGTGGTACAATGTGTGAAGCACATTTTTTATGTTCCCTGTTGTGATGTGAGTGTAATATTGCAGAAAGCAGCATTAAACCAACCTTGCAAGGAAGTAGTTGATGATGTAATCAGTTGTTTGACTTTTGAATGCATGGTTGACTTACATTCATGTGGCTGTTGGCTTGTAAATTGATAAGAGCATACTCTTGAAATTTCATTGCTGTTTACTTTTCTCCATTCAGGGGTGGTGCCGGTGATGACACACATGATGCCACCAGTGATGATGCCAGTGCCTGGTCAGATGCCCCCAGGCCAGATGCCTCCCGGGCAGTTACAGCCTGGCCAGATGCCCCCCGGCCCGATGCCACCACGGCAAATAGGCGCCGGTCAGCTCCAACAGGGTCAGATGCCTCAAGGTCAGCTAGCCCCGGGGCAAATGCCACCCGGATTGCCGCCTCAGATTTGTCTGCCCCAAGGTCCAGCCCCATCGCAAGCTCAGACAATTCCACATCCAGGATCATTAGGCACCATGCCTGGTGGTCTGAGACCACCAGCCCAGGTAACTGATGCAAAGGTTTGGCTTAAGAGCCTTTCAAAGTCTGGATTAATTTGTCTCATAATGAATACTTTTACTGTCTTTGATTAATATTAAATCATTGTGATTCTGCATTTTGTCTGCCATCTGTCTCTTCATGGTACGGAAGAGATCCTTGGTTCCCTCATTCTAGTTGTCAGGATTAGTATAAGCACCCGTGATGACTTCTGGTTAGAATAGGTTGCCAGCAACCTGTGTTGGGAGTAATAGACAAATGAGTGGTCACACACGGTGCATGCCATCATACCCTGTGATTGTAGCTCACAAAGTCTATCGGGGCAGTAGGGTAGCGTAGTGGTTAAAGCGTTGGCTCATCACACCAAAGACCCAGGTTCAATTCCCCACATGGGTACAATGTGTTAAGCCCATTTTCTGGTGTCCCCCGCCGTGATGTTGCTGTAACATATCTAAAAGTGGCGTAAAACCATACATCCTCACTCAGAAGTCTTATCACTGGAATGTCTGTACCAGACTCGATTATTTACTGGCTGATGTCATATAGCTTAAATATAAGCGCAGCGTTAAACCACAAACAAAGAAATACGAGTATTGGGTGGTGTCAAAGTTGGACCAGGATGATGCTGTATCAAAGTATCATGCCTGCTGGGGATTGTTGATCACACTGGAAAGCACTTTTTTAACGAGACCCTTCTTAATTATTCATAGGCCCCTGTGATGCAGCTAGAATGTGGACTGGTGTAAGAAGCATACGTGACTTGCTCTTCAAGTGACTCATGGACACATTCTTATTATGTGTTTTCTGTTTTCCAGGCAATGACCGTTGTGTCCCTTAGTAGCAAGCCATTGGAGACTGCTAGTGCTCAGCTAAGTCAGGCCATCCACAACATAATGTCAACATCCATCCCAACCCCTGGTATTCAGCAACCACCTCGAGGAGCTCCACGTCCTGGCTTCCCTCCTCAACATGGAAGCTTCCCCAGCTTCAACCCAAATGTGCCTCCCCCAAATTTCCGAATGCCAATGCCAGGGACCCCTGTCAGGCTACCATTTAGTGCTCCCAGCCAGCCTGTGAAGCCAGCTGATGATAATGAAAGTGATAAAGGAATGGACTGGAGTGGTGACAATGAACCTGAAGACACAGATGAACGAATGGGTGGTTCAGGTCCTGTAACTGGCTTCCCTCCTCGTCAACCCTTCGGACCACCAGGTTCTCAAAACATGCCAACTTCTCAAGCCGTGTCACTACCATCACTGATGGGAAGCCCAATGGGGCATGGTCCACGACCACTAATATCTATCGCTCAGATGCCAGGAATGCCACCTCGGCCTCAAATGACCAGACCAAGCTTAATGGGTCCTGGTGACCAACAAGGAATTGTGCTTCAAGGACCGCCTGGTACCCCAACACGTCCACCAGGACCAGGACCGCCTGTGACTCTAACGGGGCCAGGTGGACCATTAATGCCAGGTGGACCTCGAGGTCCAGCTGTTGGTCTGAGTCCAAGAGGGTTCCCAGGGCCTGGTGGGCCCCGACCTGGTCTGTTAGGTTTCAGACCGGGACTCCCAGGACAAGGGTTCAGGTTTGCCTCCCCACAAGGTGGGCCCCCAGGAGCACCACCGAACTTTAGGGGACCTAGACCTCCATTTGGTATGGGACCTGCCCCTGATATGGACAGACCATTCCAGGATGGGCCACCAGGTGTAGATGGGCCTGAGTTTAATCATGGTGAGAAAATGGAGAGGTTTGGGGGTAGTGGAAGACCTCCACCTCTTATGAGTTTAGAAACTGAAATGGACAGGTGGAACTCCAATGAGAGGAGGAGTTCTGGTGAAAATATGCAACAAAGTGGTTTTAGAAGAGACTTTGATCAAGATGATGATGAATTCAACGAAAACAGATTTGGTCGGGACCGTGACATGGGAAGAGATATGGGTCGAGATCGTGATAGGGGGAGAGAATTCAGAGGTCGAGAACCTGGTAGAGAACCTGGTAGAGACAGAGGAGGATTCGGGCAGGGTGGTCAGTTCTTGTACAGAGATAGAAATGACCGCAGTCCTAGAAGTGAACGCAGCAGTGGTCCTGAACGTGGCAGTGGTGGTCCTGAGCGTGGCAGTGGTGGTCCTGAGCGTGGCAGTGGTGGCCCTGAGCGTGGCAGTGGTGGCCCTGAGCGTGGCGGTGGTGGCCCTGAGCGTGGCGGGGGTGGCCCTGAGCGTGGCGGGGGTGGCCCTGAGCGTGGCGGTGGTCCCGATCGTGAAAGAGATCGTGAAAGGGACAGAGACTATGAAAGAGATAGAGACAGAGATCGTGATCGTGATAGAGACAGGAGAGGTGGACGCCATGATGAGAGAGATCACCGTGACAGGAGAGATCGTTCTAGAGATCGAGACGCTGAAACAAAACCAAGCACAAGGACAAGAGATCGGTCCAATCGCCAGAGTAGATGGAGTCAAGTTGTCCAGGGAGAGGATGATGCTGCCCCTGCAGTGGCTGAAGCTAATTCAGGAGTAGCGGAAACGGGTGGTGAGAACTCCAATAATTCTGCCGCCCCTCCAGCTGCAGCACCTGCCATTCCTCCAAGTGAAGCTGGTGTAGCTTCACAACCACCTGTTGGAGATGCTAAGGATGTGACACCGACTGAGGGGCTTGCTGCACCAGTAGATACTCCTGCCCCAGCAGATGCTTCTGCAGGTACACAGGAACCGTCACAAGAGAGGTCTGTACCAGCACAGGATACAACAGAGGCAGAATCTTCTCAAGTCACTGAATCCTCTGCTCCCACTGTAGATAAACCCAGTGAAGACTCGCACGTTCCTGAAGCTGCTGCAAAACTTGAATCTTCTGCAGCACAAGAGTCTAGCACTGTGTCTGAACCAATCCAAACATCAGGTGAAGATGTATCAAAATTAGATTCCAAACCCAATCTAGAGACACAAAGTAATTCAGTTCCTGTTAATCATGGAGATTCTAACAACCATCATGCAAATCTAGTTGATTCATCAAGTGTGCATGACGCACACCAAGACACTGTTAGCAATCATGATATTACAAAGGACAATGGTGATGTCCACTCATCACAGAGTATACCCGAAAGCACACCCCTAGTAGAGACTACAAATGGGCCTGATGCACTGGACTCTGAAATGAATAATGGTCCTATTGAGCCTGTGAAAGTAGTTAAGGACATTGAGGAGCCTGAAGCAGACGATGTTGTCACACCACCAGGGGATACAGAGACTGAGGGCACAGTAGCTAGCTAGTGTCGTTGCTCCCTCGTGGATGTGTTCGTGTGATCTGTGTGTTCCCAACTGTGCTTCTAGAATCATCTTGTTCATCACTCGTCTCATCTTCATATTGTAATTATGCTGTATCCAAAGGATGAATGATGTTGTCTTCAGATTGCTGCAGACACTGTATTAATTTGTACATATTGTGAAAGTTGTTGTTTTATCTGATGATTTGAATGACAACACAAATTCTAAGTACACTGAGAGATTTTTATTACAAGATGCAGTTTTACTCTTCAAATCATGCTATGATCAGGAAAGACTTGTTTAAAAAAGCCATTTCAAGATTTTTTTTTATCTTCAATAAACTCCCATCCTATGTTCTTATTTGTCAATGTTATGAAATGATTATGCTGAGAGAAATTGAATAATTTAAGTCACTCTTAAGCATTTATGTTTGTTTTCTTTTTCCAAGTTTGTCTCTATACAACAGTGCCAGACACATTCCACTAGTGGCAGACACATTCTAACAGTGGCAGACACCCATACCAGACACATTCCAACAGTGACAGCAGATGTACATTCCAACACTGACAGCAGATGTACATTCCAACAGTGGCAGCAGATGTACATTCCAACAGTGACAGCAGAAGTACATTCCAACAGTGGCAGCAGATGTACATTCCAACAGTGGCAGCAGATGTACATTCCAACAGTGGCAGCAGATGTACATTCCAACAGTGGCAGCAGATGTACGAGGGATGTTCATTAAAGATTTCCCCTGACCCACTTCCGACGGACCTAGTGGAATGAAACTTGGCATAGGTATTAGTCTTTCTCCACATAGGAACCACCAAGAGTTACACACTTCTCCCATCGTTTTATGCAACTAAGGAGACCTCGCTTGTAAAAGCCCTCATTTTGCGTCTGAAACCAGGGCTTGACTTCAGAAATCAGTGTTTCATCATTTGTGAAACGTTTTCCTTCAAAAATGACTTCATGGTTTGAAAGAGGTGGAAGTCAGAAGGTGCAAGGTCAGGAGAGTAAGGAGGATGTGGAAGGATTTCATAGCCACAGGACCGCGCTTCTGTCTGGGCAACATGAGAGTTGTGTACTGGAGCATTGTCTTGCAGGAGACGGACACCCTTTGTCAGCATGCCATGCCTCTTAAGCTTGATAGCGTCCCGCAATTTCCGCAGCAGTGAAGCATAATAAGCTCCTGTAATTGTGGTACCCTTTGCCAAGAAATCCATCATCACTACTCTGTGCTGGTCCCAAAACACCGTGAGCATGACCTTGCCTGCAGAGGGTTGGACACGTGCCTTCTTTGGGGGTGGTGACTCCACATGCTTCCATTGCATCGACTGAACTTTAGTCTCAGGATCATAGTGATGGACCCATGTTTCATCCTGTGTGATAAGTCTGTCAAAAAAGTTTGCCTGTTTTTTTTGGCACATGTCCAAAAGATCCTTTGAGCAATTGACTCGTTCCTGCTTTTGGAAAGGTGTGAGCAACCTGGGAATCCATCGTGCAGACAACTTATGCATGTTCAAATTGTCATGGATGATTTTTTCCACAGACCCTACACTGATCTTGACATCTTGTGCTAACTGGCGAACAGTTATACGTCGGTCTGCCAAAATGGCGGTCTCCACTTGATTGATAGTTTCATCATCAATGACTGAATGGGGGCGACAAGGAATGGCAGCTGTTTCCACAGATGTCCGACCACACTTGAACTGGCGATGCCAGTGTTTAACAACGTCATATGATGGGGCATCTTCCCAAAAAGTTGCTTTCATTTCATCGAAAGTTTCGTTTGGTGTGCGACCTTTCAAATATAAAAACCTAATCACTGCTCAGTATTCTACTGGCTCCATTGTCACACCCTACTCGATCATAACACCTGTAAAAGTGGTAAGAGTAATAGTTCGGTGCTGAAAATTCAGACATAACCAATAGATACATGTATCATTACACATGTGAAATTTCAACCAAATATGATAACCCTAAGTGGTTTAGGGGAAATCTTTAATGAACACCCCTCGTACATTTCAACAGTGGCAGCAGATGTACATTCCAACAGTGGCAGCAGATGTACATCCCAACAGTAACATATGTACATCCCAACAGTGGCAGCAGATGCACATTCCAACAGTGGCAGCAGATGCACATTCCAACAGTGGCAGCAGATGCACATTCCAACAGTGGCAGCAGATGTACATTCAAACAGACGCATTCCAATGTGGGAGATACTCATACATTCCACTAGTGCCAGACACATTCCAACAGCAGCAGATGTACATTCTATACACATTCCAATAATGGTAGATATGTATTCCAACAGCGGTAGACGCACATTCCAGACACATTCCAGACACATTCCGACAGTGGTAGACATAAATTCCACCAGTGCCAGCAATCAAACTTCCCATCTGTGCGATCAAGACATTCAAACTGTTGCAGGTGCAACATCACAGTATGAACCAAAAGATGGGACATGTTGCCCTCACTGGCGCTCGGCATTAAGAGGCTGAAACAAGGACTGGGCCCCGTTCCACAAAGCGATCTTACTTTAACATAGGCTTACGATCATCGTAGCGCTAATATCGCTTTGAGGAACGGGGCCCAGGTCGGTATACGTTCTCAATGGGATATTCATGTTAAACAGTGACATGGTAACTCAATGGGCTAACACTATTTAAAAGGCAGTCCAAACTAGTATAGCACACACGTGCATGCACGTCCATTTGTAATAATGATTTGGAGTTAAGAGTGCGGACGAAACGTGCACGGCGCTTACGGGAAACGGCACGGTCTTCGGTAATTAGGCATTTTGCCATTAAGCAAAATTTAGCCATTTAGACTCTGATTTGGACTCCTCCTTAATCTTGTTCTCTGGGGTCTGGTAGACCGACTTATTGTAAATGTTTCAGACATTCCAAGACCGCAGAAGGAACAAAGGATGCAAACCAGAACCTAAACGGATCTTCATATCTGACCACATTTCTTTCTCATTTTATCAATAGTACAATAGTGGCATTTCACTTTTCAATACCGGCAGAGACACATTCCAACAGTGGCAGATTCACATGCTAACTTCTTCCCGAGGTGAGGCAGTTAACAGACGATAAAAAAGTGCTGTTTCCATCCTTCCCGAAGAAGGCTGGAATTTCGAGTTTCAAAATTTGTTCATGTTATGATCGTGCTCATGTGATTTGATGCACTTCACAAGGTCAGACCTTTTTTTTTATTTATTTACAATTAGATCTTGATTATCGATCAGATTGTCTTCACTCGGCGCCGCCATTTTGTTTGACGCAAAAGTCTGACACAAGATAACTTTGATCCAGGAGATATAACACGACACGAACTTATTTTGTAGCATACCTACATATTCAAGCAAGTTCGTAAACTCTCGTAAAGCGCACATGTGTAATCCAGAAGGTAAAACAAATTCTACTTTGCATGCGGTTCCTTCATGATCAAGAATTTGTTTGTTGTATAACGCCGCACTTCACAATAATCCAGCTATATGGCGGCGGTCTGTAAATAATCGAGTCGGGACCAGACAATCCATGGGCATCATGAGCATCGATCCACGCAGTTGGGTTACGATGACATGCATCAAACAAGTCGGCGAGCCACCCGATCTCGTTAGTCGCCTCAGACGACTGATATATATATAAAAAAAATAGAAAACAAACATCTTATAAAAACAAAACTAGCTTTTCAACGAAATGATGTATATAACGAACGTATTTATATACTTTAATGTTTACTAAACATTGACTTCTGAAAATTGTTTTGAATGAACAACAGGTATTAAAATGACTGTTCTACATGATTAAAGTTACTAAATTTTAACTGAATGTAATGGCATAAAACTCTTGTTGGCACATATGCGGGTTTAACGACATTGAACTTAGTGCCGTAAAGCACGAGAAAGCTGCCTTCTGATTGGCTACTGTCGACTTCCTGTCAGTCCTTCAATCGGTCGGTCAAAGTTCGCGCAAGGTCGGTCTGACGTGACCCGTAATGGGATGTCCTCAGATCTTTGTTTAGCGGCAGCGAGAACTAAGATCTAATTTTAATGAGATTGATAGTGGAACCTGCATTTGTTGTTTGCTCTTAGTATTGTTTCAGATGCGTTGTCACTATGGCAACAGATGAGCGTTAAAGACATTATGAGAACTTGCACAAGGCATTCGTGAGTGCAAGGGGGTGAGACTGGTTTCATTTTGCTTATATTTGGATACCACGAAGCCAGACTGAACCAAGCCACAAAAATATAAAAAAATGAGTTGTAAAAAGTTCCTTTGACTTATACCAACCACATAATATGGTTCAGAATGATACACAAACATAAATACGGTACTTTGCAAAAACTCCAACCCGCATAGCCCGACAGTGTCATATCAGCAATGTCAAAGACAACCATTCACTGGTATCCATAAGTATATATGCTAACCACATATCCCAATGTTTCGTTCATTATGACATTCAAAACACAAATGTGATTTAAAATAAATCTAGTCATGCAGATCCGTATATTCTGATGATTTGGATGCGTTTGAAAGTTGCGTCATTCAATCATCAAAGTTGAAAATTGTAAATGGCTGATACTTTAAAATGATGTCGTGGTTTGGTTCTATACTGAGTCAAAACTTCACATTTCTAAAATTAATCCCATATATGATATACAACGGACAAATGTATCAGAGAAGGTAATTATTAATCATTAATGTCCAAAGAAGGATTTTAATCAACGGTGGTAACCATAATTTGTTTCAAGCACCTACGGTATTCGGTAATAACATCAACAGTTTAAATCATAAGTCCCAAGCACGAGAATCTGATGGCACACAAGTTCAGTAGCGTGTATGGCCACCATGTGCGTTGACAACTGCCACACAACGCCTCCGCATGGACCTTGTGATGCTTGTGAACACATTATTGGGAAGACGACGCCATTGGTGCTGCAAAATGGTGCCAAGATCTTGCAAATTCTGTGGTTGGTTCTGGAGAGTGCGCAGACTTCTGCCAAGATCATCCCAGACGTGTTCGATGGGATTGAGGTCGGGAGACCTTGACAGCCAGTCCATGACGTTGACTCCCGCATTCTGAAGGAAATTCCTTGTCAAAATGGCTGTGTGGGCCTGGCATTGTCGTGTTGGAAGATCAAACCGGGTCCATGTGCTGCCATAAAAGACAGAAGTTCTGGTGCCAGTACCTGGTCGCGGTAAGCAGCAGCGTTGAGGTTGCCACGGATGGCAAGAAGCCTGGAACGTGCATTGCCACAGAAAGCATCCCACACCATGACACTTCCGCCTCGAAATCTGTCAACTTCCTGTACACCACACTGGGCGTAACGTTCATGACG